TTGTTGACTCATAAAATTCTACTGCTTCTTCGTGGCCCTCCATGGCTGAATCGTGTTACTGACTGCAGGTCGGCGTATGTTGTTTGTGCCAGAAATACCTTACAGGTGATGCAAATGACAGGAGGTACTGATGTCAATCAGCTTCAAATGGAAGGAGATAATAGCTTGTTTGCCCCCAGCTGAACAATGTTTAGCAGATCATAAAGATCGTGTATGTTCTTTGGTAATGCTGCTTCCTCTGTTGGGTCAAACAGTAAGCAACAATCCAAAAGGGTTTGAATGAAGAAAGCTGGACTTCTTTGGTTTCTTGAAGATGTTTGGCTTCTCTTCTGAGGAGCTTCGTCAGTTCTGACAGGAACATGGGAGAGTCAAGCTTATAAACTGTAGCTGTCTGTTGTTGAGAAGTGAAACATCTTCAAGAAACCAAACAAGTCCAGTTGCATTCATTCCATGACCTGGATGACTGAGAACCTTGACCAGCAGTAAGAACAAAATAAATGGAAAAAAATAAAATAAAAACTCTATATTGAACTAGAAACAGTGTTATGAAACATATTTAAAGTTTTCAGAGGATTGTTTCAATTATTAGTGGAATGATGACTTTTTCACATGTGACCCGACTGGTTTTGGATAGCTCTCCTAAATTAATGATATTGTCATCTACCCAGGTTATATTTGTCTGATTGTGAGATTAGTTTGCTGATCTGAAACTTTTCATTGGGACAAAAATGAAGCAAAACCAAGAAATTTGTTAAAGGGCAGATTCTGGATTGTACGAGCTGCAGTTTAAAGGCTCTGTTTGCTCTTGGGAATAAAAATAAGAAACAACAGAGCACGCCCGAAGGTGTGCATTTGTTTCTAGTTTGAGTGTAAAAAGATTATTTCAAGAGATTATCAGTTGTTCCACTGAAGACACAGAAAACTAGATTTGTGAGATAACCATTCTTGCGTCATGTAGTCAAATTTATGGTTTACTTGTTTTGGTGGCGTGTCTTTGTTAGGCAGTTTAGGAAAGGCAGCACTGACCCTGAAGTTCACCACCAAAATGTTGTAAATCATTTAGAAAAAACATTTTTGTTTAAAAAAAAAGCACACACACACACATGTGTGTGTATATATATATATATATATATATATATATATATATATATATATATATATACACACACACACACATACATATATACATGTGTGTCATATATATATATATATGTATATATATATATATATATATATATATATATATATATATATATACACACACACATACACATATACGTGTGTGTGTATATATACATATATATATATATATATATATATATATATATATATATATATATATATATATACACACATACACATATACATGTGTGTATATATATATACATATATATATACATATATATATATATATATATATATATATATATATATATATATATACACATGTATATGTATATATATATATATATATATATATATATATATATATATATATATATATATATATATATATATATATATATATATATATACATACATACATAGACTTAGCTTAGTGTTTCATTGATGCTTTCTCACAAGTTCATTTTGGAGGAACATCAACTTTTGCTCCAGCAACACTTTTTTGTGACTTTAAAATATAACAAGTTTCTCTAAATGACTCTTAAAGCTGCTGGTTTTTATTTTTACTTTTAGAAAAGAGCATGTTATACTTTTGTTACTGTGTTCTGTTTGTGCCTACTTTAGCATTTTCTCCTCTCCTGTTAGCATCAGGTTCAAATCAAAATACCTTTTTGTTTTCTTCTGTCCCTGCCCAACCCCTCCTACCCTCTCCCCTTACATGCATCCGTTTTGGATTAAGGCTCTACCACCCAGCATGTTTGAGTCATCCAGCCCCCTCTCCCCTTCTGCCTGGTTTTCCACCCTCCATGTTTGCAAGTGATCCTACAGTGACACAGTCTTGAAGGTCTTATGTTGTCCTTTCTAAAATAGCCAAAACACTTCGTGGAAGAGAACTGTGAAGCCTATTGTAGCTGATATTTCTGTTAAACCTTTATAACAGGATTATTAACAGCTCGTCCGCTAATGTCAGAGCAGTTTAACTCCCAAGTGAGCTATTGTTCTCCACACACTGGTGCATCTATTATCTTTGCAAGTGTACTGAGCTTTTTTCCAGCAAGTGTTCTTCTGCAGTAAGAGAAAAAGAAAGTTATTCAAAAAGTTTGTTTAAAACGAAAAACAATCCTGTAGCCTTACAATTTAAACTAAATAAATAATACACACCTTTAGCTCTCATAAATTACCCCTTTTCTTTCTCTGCAGTCACTCTTTTGATACCACACTCCCGTTTTAAGGCTGTAACTGGTGTTTTCTTCTCATTGTGATTGAAACAAGCAAACTAGGAGCCATAATGGGCTCCAGGAGCAGTAATTAAATAGAATAATAACAGACCGTTAACACAGTTGGCAATTAGCATCTGCTGATCCGTGCCTATCTGCACTAAACAGCTTGAAGCCAGTACATTAAGAAAGGTAAAAGATTAAAAGGTAAATGGCCTTTCTTTATTAATCACATAAGTGTTTTCCTCCTCGGAAAACCAAGTGAAAGACTTTTTAATTTTCCCTAAGGTGTGTGTGTGTGTGTGTGTGTGTGTGTGTGTGTGTGTGTGTGTGTGTGTGTGTGTGTAATGGGACGAGTGTTCGTTTCTTTATTGCTATTCTCTTTAACATGTGTAACCGTCTTTGTACCAGCACTTGTGACCTTCATATTTCACAGCCACTCTTGAATTGCCTCGTAGACACACATTGGAAAACACATCAGCAGCTTCATGTATTGAGGGGATGTGCAAAATGTATCTATGTCAGTCATTTCCCCGACAGCCTGCCAATTTGTCTAAAAAGATTTTGTCAATAAGGACCAAAATGAAAGTTTAGAAAGCTTTTTCTCTGTTTTCTAAACCTTCCCCTTGTTGTTTCTTTGCCCTTTTTTTGAACTGCAGAATGTGTACGTGAACATCAATAGAATCATGTCGGTGGGAAATCGTCTTCTGGAGTCCGGCCACTACGCCTCGCAGCAGATCCAGCAGATCTCAAGCCAGCTAGAACAAGAATGGAAAGCCTTTGCTGCAGCACTGGACGAACGCAGCACTCTGCTGGAGATGTCTGCCAGCTTCCACCAAAAAGCAGATCAGGTACAGATCAGTGCAGCAGAAGGCAGAGAATAACATACATGTGTTTGTAAGTGAAGGTAAACGCCATTTTGAAACTAAACTTAATCTTGGCTGGTAATCCTTGCAAAGGCAGTTTAGGTCCATTCATGTTTTGTTTTTATTTTTTACTAAAATGTGGTTGAACTCCTACTTCTACTAAAAGTCACACCTTGGTGTTCCTGCTTGTATTTTTGAGGTATTTTTTTCCAGAGCTACTATAAATGACACACATTGAACATTGAAACTAAAACAGCAGATCAAAGCTTTACTCCTTGCTCCTTGCTTACATTTCCATTAGCACTGTTGCACCTGTTGTTTACTGAGGCGCTACTTGTCTTGATAGATTCTGAGCTGCTAATGTGTAGTGTAACCGAACAGCTGTTCAGTTGAATAAGTTAGGAATCGATGTGTGCATCCGAGGCATACACTAATACTCTTCAAGGTAGAATTTGTAAGATTTCTACAGTGAAATAATCACAAAACCATCTAACGTCTCAGTTATGGTGGAAGGAAGGTTACATTAAAAACAGATTTCCTTCTCAGCTGGCTGAATGATTGTAATTTTTACTCCTTTCAAAAGGGCCGAAGAGGGACATTGTCTGTACTTACAATCTGTGCGCCCATTGGGTTGCAGAGTCTACACCGAGCTAACGCTACATCGCCAGCATTTATGGCCAACAACAATCAGCAGTGCTTTGTAAAGAACGTAAGCCAGGAAACAGGAGCGTCCTGAAAGTTATTTCTTGTACCCCTAAGAAGCCACAACATCTTTTGTTTTCCTCCAATATCAAGCAAAACAGGCTAGAGGCTAACATCAAGCTAACAATGCTAACGGTGAATTAGAAAATATTTTCAGCTCTAACTCTAACTCAAACTACTTTTTCTATTACTAATAACTCAATATTATAGTGAAATGTATTCATCTACTTATCAACTGACTGCATGAGTCGTCTTCGCTTGTCATCTAGACTTTTCTGGCTCTGGTCTGTTACAGGCGACAGCCGTGAAACTAACAGAACAGGAGAGAGAAAGTGCCCTGTTCTTTCTTACATAATACACCTTTAGACTAACAGCAAACTGTGTTTTCACATGTTTGTACTTTAGGATGCAAATCAAGTAGAGGTATGTATTCTTTTCTCTGTTGGTCAATGTTTGTGTTTCTTTTATTTTTAATCAGTACATGAGCAAAGTGGAGCCGTGGTGTAAAGCATGTGGTGAAGGAGAGCTGCCCACTGAACTCCAAGACCTAGAAGATACAATCCACCATCACCAGGGACTTTATGAACACATCACCACTGCATACTCAGAGGTCAGGAATTCAAAAATGGAGACAATGAAATAAAACTTTGAGTTTTACAACAGCAACAAAGCGGTGTTTAAATGTAATCATCCTTACATGAGCTAATGAACCATTTCAGGTAAGCCAGGATGGAAAATCTTTACTGGACAAACTACAGCGACCTCTGACTCCCGGAAGTGCTGATTCACTCATGGCATCGGCTAACTACTCCAAGGCTGTGCACCATGTCCTAGACATCATCCATGAGGTGTTGCATCACCAGAGGCAACTCGAAAACATCTGGCAGCATCGTAAAGTGCGACTGCACCAGCGCCTGCAGCTGTGTGTCTTCCAGCAAGACGTACAGCAAGTAAGACGTGCATGCAGAGGAATTCTGCTATGATAAAACCTGCAGCTGTTTTCGTTCTGCACTATTTATCAGACAGATTACTGCAGAGGCGGTAGGCTTATTTTACCACGTTTCTCATTCTGCTGCTTTGTGGGTTTTAGACAGATTTGTTTTTCAACCATTCTGTGGAATGTTGCAGAGACTGACATTACAGATGAAATGTAATCGTTTGTAGTTTTCTCCATCAGCTTGGCCTGCCATAGCTGAGGTCTTACATCAAAACCAGTAATTTTGCGTATCATGTCGCCTCTTCTCCCCCTTCTGCTTTATTGACTGTTTCCCTGTCTTTCCACACCTCCATTCACTCTTTCATCACCCTTTCCTCTTGGTAGTGGTTTCCATGGTGATGCAATTTACGGTCACATAAAGTGTCAGGAGCATGGGTTCATGTGTGTTCGTCCAATGAAAATATTCTCTCAGAGACCTTGAACACCCCTTCCATTATCCCACATGTAAACAGATGGAGTGCGTCTGTCTTTTTGATGTATAATAATATTGAGATTTATGGCTTATCACCCACAGACTGGATATGTTTTACCTTGCTTTGCTTTGCAGTTCTCACTAATTGATCATGTTTTAGTCGTTTAAATTTTTACCGAATGAAAATAGGAGAAGGAAACAGATTAGAGCTGAGGCAGTGACACAGCAGCATGAGAGTTATATCTATGAATCGCTCAGAATCTGCTTACAGCCACTCTAATCAATACCACCACCTACTGGCTGTTAATATGGATTGCACAGATTGTTTTGTGCACATTTTCATTCATGTGCATTTTCTTTAAATTTTCTGCGCTTCAAGGTGTTGGACTGGATAGAAAACCACGGAGAGGCCTTCCTCAGCAAACACACTGGTGTTGGAAAGTCTCTGCACAGAGCCAGGGCTCTACAAAAGAGACACGAAGACTTTGAAGAGGTTGCACAGGTGAGATTTTCAAAGTTTAATGAATTGCTGTAAACATGATCAAATATCTTCAGTTTGTTAAAATAAATATAAGTAGGTGCAACACTGACATGCAAGAGATGATGTCCTTGTTTCCTTTTATAAAAATGCCTCCTGCTAACATTTCAGAACACCTACACCAATGCTGACAAGTTGCTGGAGGCAGCAGAGCAGCTGGCCCAGACCGGAGAGTGTGACCCAGAGGAAATTTATCAGGCAGCCCACCAGCTAGAAGATCGCATCCAGGACTTTGTGCGTCGCGTTGAGCAACGCAAAGTTCTGTTGGACATGTCTGTGGCTTTTCACACACACGTTAAAGAGGTAAATGCTCCTTTAAATAAGTATCTGGTTTTCTTCAATCTTTGAACTCACCACCTAAAGAAGGTTATCAATGGATAAGAAAACAGTAAGATAAAATGTTTGTCACATACTGTTCTTTTGCATTTTTCTGGAAAAAAGCCCCAAAAAAATTTTTTTAAACCTACTGAGTGCAGAGTAATTCTGTTTGAAGCGTCCAGTACTTTAACAGTTCAGACCTTTGGTTATGACAGTTAATAAACATCTAGGCCAAGGTTTTAGAAACAATTCATACTGTAAGAAAAAGTGAAATGGTCTTCAGATTTTAGCCCAGTAGAGCAGAGAGGGTTAAAGTCCCCCTTATGCTCACAGTGTTCCCTGCATGCATCCAAAACCTGATCATAAATAATCTTTTTATATGAATATCTTGTATGAATATCTTGTTGCAGATATTAGATTTGATGTGACAATATGTCTTGGGCTGCATTGTGGTTGTTAGCACTGTTGCCTCCCAGCAAGAAGGTTGCAGGTTCGACACTCGGCTGCGGTCTTTCTGCAGGTGTTGCATGTTCTCCCCATGCATGCATGGGTTTCCTCCGGGCACTCAGGTTTACCCCACAGATCACAGCATGCCCTATAGGTTAAAAAGTGTATGTCGCTTTAGATAAAAGCATCTGCCAAACAAATAAACATAAACATGTCAACAGCCAGAAATGCTTTCTGCACACAAACTTGCAATCGACACACCATCCATATAGATTTCAGCCAAAATGGTCAGTAGACCCAAGCAGTTTTGTATGTAAACCTTTGTCCTCCTTTTGCTTTCGTTTGCCTCTAAAATGTTCTTACACAGATGTCACCTGCCCTCTCCTTAACTCATAAGAACAGACATGATAAGAATGAAATACAATCACTATTCTGCTTTAAAATTTTATCTAACAAAGCAATAGGAAGAAATGCAGATGTTTAGATGACAGGAATTGGTATTTGTTTTTCAGCCTGTCATTAACCTTTTGCATATGTAGCTTGGATCTCCTCCACCTTCTGATGACAAGACTGTTCAGTTGCTTCCTGATTGTATGCTTATTTTAGAGGAATAAATTATTGTTGTCCCATTCTCTTGCTAGCTGTGGACATGGTTGGAAGAGCTTCAGAAGGAGCTGCTGGATGATGTGTACGCTGAGTCTGTGGAAGCAGTTCAGGACCTGATAAAGCGATTCGGCGGGCAGCAGCAGACCACCCTGCAGGCAACTGTCAACGTTATCAAGGAGGGAGAGGACCTCATACAGCAGCTCAGGTAAAAATGAGTGTTATGTTAAAACCCACATACTGTCGTAATGCTTATGCATTAGGGCTAGATACTGTCATGGTCTGTGTCTGCGTCTTTCCCCATGTGTCTCCTGATGTCCTCCATCCCTCTCTAGATTGCCCTTTTGTGTCTCATAGCGCCCTCATGTGTCCTTTGTCTGCATCTCATTTATGTGTCTTCTGTTTGTAGCCCTTCAGGTCATCCCCAGCCCCTCCAGTTGTAGCTCCAGCCTTTTTGTCCCCAGCTCCCTCCTGGTTTTCTTGATGTTCTCTTGGTCTCCCCACCATATTTCGATAGGTCTATTATTTCGGTTTTGTGTGTGTGTGTGTATGTCCTTCTCAGCTAGGTGTGTGTGTGTGTCCTTCTCCAGCTGTGTGTGTGTGTGTGTGTGTGTGTGTGTGTGTGTGTGTGTGTGTGTGTGTGTGTGTGTGTGTGTGTGTGTGTGTGTGTGTGTGTGTGTGTGTATGTGTGTGTGTGTGTGTGTATGTGTGTGTGTGTGTGTGTGTGTCCTTCCCCAGTCAGGTCCGGTGTCCTCCCCTACTCCTACCTACTCCTCCTCCCTGATTAGTTATTGCCTTCACCTGGTTCTCTCCCCACACACCTGCAGCTCATCTGCCTCCCATTATGCCCCAGTCTATAAAGCCCTGTCTGTTTCTCATTGTCTTGTCGGTCCATTGTTGTTTGTCAGTGTTGTTTTGGTGCTCTGTGTGAGCTTCCTGTCCCGTCCCCAGTTTGTGCTCTAGGTGAGCTCTGTTCTCATATTCTGGATTTCTGGATTTTGGCTCCCTGCCTTTTTGGACTTATTTTTGTTCATCCTACAATAAAGGACTTTTTCTTTATATCAACTCCTGCCTCGTGTCATCCTGGGTAACTGCATTTTGGGTCCAAACCGTCCTCTCAACGTGACAGATACATTTATTTACACATTTAAAAATGAAATTCACAGTAATATGCGAAGCAGAAGTTTCTAAATATACAGTTGTTAAAAACTACTTGAAAGTTTTCGGTGATTTTTTTGCCAATTTTCCCTCCAAATATTGGAATAAATATTTGATTTTGTGAGTCAACTTTTGGAGCCAACCCAGTTCAAAATGGCCACCACATCTAATTGACCTCAACAAGCAAACTGTTTTTTATAGATAATGAGCATTGCATGATAATAGCTGAGCGATACTCCAAGCCTTAACAGATCACAAGATCTTGTGATATCACACAAGAGTCCAGGTTTGACCAAAACAGCTTCAAATCCTTAGATGACTTTTTGTTTAGGACTCTAACATCAAAGGACACAGTCGTCTTTTATTTAGGTGAACTTTTTCATTCTTGTGGGCATGCCTTCACTCTTTATGTACACACATTGTTTTGCTTTCTGTTAACAGAGACTCAGCTATTTCCAGCAACAAGACCCCCCACAACAGCTCCATGGCACACATCGAGAGCGTGTTGCAGCAGTTGGACGAGGCTCAGGGTCAGATGGAGGAACTGTTCCAGGAAAGGAAGATCAAACTAGAGCTCTTCCTGCAGCTCCGCATCTTTGAGAGGGATGCAATAGACGTAAGTAGGGGGAAATATAAACAGCAAATAAGAAGAAATCAAAAAGCAACGAGGAAGTGTTAAGGTTGGGAAAAAAGTCAAATGTAAGGTGTTTTGACAACAGCCTGAGAAATCAGCCATATTGTGTTCCTGAACTAATCTGGCAAGCCATCCTATATATGTACATGTATAGTGTGGCTATGGTCCTGAGACATAATAGAGACAGATCCAGGGTTGTCTTTCAAACTGTCTGCATACAAACGGAAAGTTTTAGGGCCAATCAGAGCAACGAACAGCAGAAATTGGTCAGCATGGCAGTCCACCACACCGTAGAAGAAGAAGGGGCAGAATAACCCCCATCTGCTCATGTCTCAAAGAAAAACCCAAGTGTTGTTTTGCTATGTTGCAGCTCTGAGGTCACCAGAACTCTGCCATAATGATGCGAAGCCTGCCCAACGTCTCAAACATAGAGCGCTGTGATTGGACAGGCCTACTGTTGACACTTTTTTCATCTTCAGACCCTAATAAATTGTATCGGTGTGAATTTGACTTGTTTTGCGGTCGTTGTTACTTTTGATGATTAAAGGAAACTGGCTACTGTGGATTTTGATGGATGAAGATAAAAGTTGTTGTTGCTTTTTATTTTTTCAGTATCCTTGTTTTCTTTTTCTCAGTAGCTGTTTGAATTTGTGTAAAAAGGTCGGTTACATGAGGTAAGGTGTGTACGAGCAAATCAGAGTGACTCTGAGCTAACGGACCGTTTCACCGTGAAAGGGAGATTTAGTCCTGTAGCGAAGCTCCCTGCTGGTTTAAAGCCTGGCTGAATTCATGGCAATGCTCTCACATTTGCTACATTAAAAAGGCATTTAGTTCCACTTGATGCATCGCATCCACTTACTCATTCTGTTTTCCTCTCCCTTCCCTAAGCAGCGGTCTGCTGTGTTGTATCAGCTTTTCCTGCAGCGTCCCGCTGAGAGAGGGAATGCTTTTCTCAGCTGGGGCTCAGATATGTCGGCTGCTCTCTTTAAACATTTTACTGTGTTTATTGTGATATGTATTGTGATATGTATTGTGGCCATCCAGTCAGATCTGCTCAGTCAAAGTAGGTTTAGAGAATTTGGAGGAAATAATTGGATAATAAATAGTCCAGTCATGTCCAAGAAAATAGCTTAGCTCTGCATGTCGGGTCAGGGGGTAAATCTGCTAATTACACGCACGCGCGCGCACGCACACACACACACACACACACACACACACACACACACACACAGGATTATTATGACAAAAGGCTTGATCCTGAAGAAGGGTGGAGGAGGGATTTGTTCCCTGCTCCCAGACACGCTCATTGGCATTTGCAATATGACTCCGCCTCCTGGCATAAAGGTGTGTTTGTGTGTGGAGAGATGTGTTAGATGAGACACATCGTCATCTGTCAGGGCTTTTCTTTCTGATGATAAACTTTCAGAGACAAAAGGGACTGCCCGCTCCTCTGGATAGTGTTTGTGGTCCTGGTAGAAGAGGGAGATGGTATTTCTATACGCACAAGGTGTTTTACTCAACTGTAGCAGAAGAGGAGAGCAGAAAAAGAAACATTTGGTAGGTTTGATTTTTTTGGGGGTGGGGTTATGGAGGATCTTCAAACAAAAAAGATTTTCTGAATTGTGAATGATGGAAAATTCAAAGCCATGCAGCTCCTGATCATAACCTTTTCATTTAAAAAAATGAAATTCATGTTTCCACTACCTGTTTGTTTTATCGTATTTTGTTTTTCACTTTCCGGGGTCAAATTGAGCAATTTATGTTTGCAAATAGTTTAACATTATCCCTGGTTCTAAACTATATATTTTAATTGTTTTAATTGTAATAATCTTTATTTCAGGTTTAATTCTTTGTGTTTTCTCCCCATTATTGATGTGAGGACAGGAATCTTCTGGATTTTTTTGCATCAGAATATGAGAAACTGCCTTTATTCTGCTCACTGATAACAGCTACTAATTATCTGATCCCATGAATAACTAAACTGGCGTAAGGTTCGTCACATCACTTTAGATATTCAAACAGTATCATAGAAAGTGTGTTAAGATGAGGGAGTTTCCCCCTCTGTACAAAGCTGTAAGCTGCATTTCAGCACCAGTGATTAAATTCCAAGTCTTCTCCCAAGAATCAAAATGAAAAAATTAACAATTTCTTGTTCGTTGATGGAAATTTTTGTTTAACAGTCTGTAGCATCACACTTCTGTTAAGGTTTCTTATGTTCAAACACATCTTTGGTCTCAGAGCTGCAAGGAACTTTAAAGACTAAGTTCACTGAGAACCTGTCTTTTACTTGTTAGGGTTACTGAGGTGAAGGTAAAAATAGTCTTTTAATTCTATTTCCTACATTAGCCGCCAATAGGAAAAAAGATGGGGAAATGCCCGAATTAATTTCAAGTCACTTTGAAAGTTAGCATTCAGGGACTCAACCATCTTGGCTCGTGACGAGGAAGAATGTTGTTAATTTAGTGTCCAGAAGAGAGCAGGGTGCATCTCGGCTAGTCGAAGCTAACTGTTAGCATTGGCAACTCCACAACATGGCAGAAAACCTTCAGGCTTGTTTTATTTGTGGAGATATAGCATCAATGTGACAAAACAAATGGAGTCAGTGGTAGAGTCGCATTGCTGTTAGCCAATCAGAGGTGAGTTGTCTGAATATCAGTAAATAATACTCCAAATCCTGCCCTCTTCTGTGCCCTGACTCACTTCTAGTTCCTCAAACACGAGTTCCAGAACTTTTTCCCAGAGACCAACTCACAAGCCTTTCATTCATTCTAGAGACCACTGCTGATGTGTTGAAAAAAGAGGGAACTTGGTCTTTAATGTATCGAACCTCTTATGACACTGTTTAGAAATCAAGACAAACTCTAGCAGTAGCCAAAGGTTTTGTTCAGCCTGAGCAGTGTAGGGTCAGGCCAAGTACTTACAGTGCTGTTTGTAGAGAGACTTTGGGTGGGCATAGCACCAGCGCTGTGATGGAGAAAAACTACAAAGATGGCGTTGGCTCAGGAAAGGCGCTCACTTGAAACAGCTTCTTCTTCTTTTTCTTTTTCTTCTGTTTTTAGTGGTTCATGGTCAGACTGTATATTTACATATGAAAATATGGATTGTGTCACCTCTAGCTTCTTCCAAGGTTTCTGTAGTGCATCTGAATGTGCATCTCTCTCATGTGTGGTTGTATCATGCCTGTTCTAACTCGAATATAATAGAGGAATAGACAAAAACAATGATTTTTTTTTTGTTTCAGCAACGATCTTTGTTTTGTTTCATTTCTGTTTGAGCTCAGTCTCATAACCTAGAAACACACAACCCCATGATTCATCTCTTTGTTTTAACAATTCATGTTGAGGATTTTCTTTCCTTTTCTGCCTCTCTGAACTTTGACATTCTGTTGCTTAACTGTCTTTTTGATAAATAAATGTTTTTGGACACATGAGATGCTCAATTTTCAGACTGAAGGGGACAGCTGCCAAAGCATCTTATTTTCATTTATCCACACAGATTGAATTTTACCACCGTAACTCGCAGGAGACTTAATTAGGTTATGCACCTATAAAGAGCCTGTTACTCATGTTGCTCAGTGATCTCTGAGTACAGAGCAGCTCAGCATGGACTCAAAACTACAAAACTTTGAAAGTATATATTTTTTATTCCAGTTATGTAAGTGCTATGGTATACTACAGTTATATAAATAAATACTTTAAAGGCACAAATCTGACATCAAATTAGACTTTCCACTATCAGTGTTTCCCCTTCTTTAGGGAAGTTATTGAAGTATTAAGAAGGACCCAGAATTCTAGCTGTGGTGCAGCGCCATGTTAAAGCCTATGGAAGGGAAACGCTGACCGTGCCCAATGTTGTCATTGAATGTTCTGAAACATTTGAGATTAAAATATGTTCTTGAAGAGCTGAAATGTTCCTGGTTTAAGGTGCCCCTGGTGTCATGATTCAGTCAGTGGGAGCAGTCAGAGACAAGCATGGACATCTCAGTACATCTGCTCCGCCAGCTGTGCATTACTACTTTAATATGTTACCTGTTACTATGGAAGTCAGAGTGTTTGGTTACAGCTTTTAAACGCTCTCGTTTGGTATCGAGATGGATGAGTCAAGTCTAGTATGTACATTTGATGCTTCTACATAGTATTTTTGTTTTAACAAAGTATTTTTACTCTGTATCTTCATCTTTGGCCAATATTATGAAACTATTTTGTTTTAACAGCAGTTTGCATAAAATGAAAGGATTTGCATCCATTTGCATCCTTTAATCGTACTTTGTAATTTTCAAATGTTAACTCTGCCTGAACACCTGTCCCCCTCCTCAGATTATCTCAGACCTGGAGTCATGGAATGAAGAACTGTCCAAGCAGATGAATGACTTTGACACCGAGGATCTGACTCTGGCTGAGCAGAGGCTTCAGCATCATGCGGACAAAGCTCTGACCATGAACAACCTCACCTTTGACGTCATCCACCAGGGACAGGAGCTGCTGCAGTATGTCACAGAGGTCCAAGCATCTGGTAAGTGAAGAAACAGATATATATTCATGGATGTGGACCCATTGTTAACCCACGGAAAAAAGAAAGAAGAAAAAGTTAGCGTTGTTGAAAATGCCAAGTTCATATATATTGCAGCTATGCGAGAGCCACTGCCGCATGTCACCCCAGGGCCGTAATCTGCAATTATCCAGCGATGGCTGCCATTGGTCTGCAGACGTGCATCAGTATAAAACTGACACTTTATACCAAATTTCTCCCTGTAAGTTGATGGGATGGCATGTTCAGAATAATTCCTTATTAAAGATGTGAATTCCTTATTAAAGGAGGAGAGTTTGAAAGTTTAAAGACTTTGAAAGCCACACTTCATACTTTTCAAACAGATAGTCTTTTAGCGCTAACAACAAGTAATGTTTTCAGCATGTTCCTGCTCACATCTAATTCGAACTGGTGAATTATCTCCTCAGCCTTCATTGGGTTCTGCAGGAGCTGCTAATCAAATCTGCAGTGTTCGAGAAGAGAAACGTCTAAAATCTGCAGGAATCCACCACTTGTAGCCCCCTGCAGCTAACACTACAACAGGCTAAGGCAATTGCCTGATGTAGCATAAGGTTGAATGCTATGCTACTCACTTATCTCCAATACACAAAAGATAAATCTTGTTCCTCTTCCACAGTTAGCTTGATGTTTACAGACGGACGTTAATTTAATACAGGTCATGTTAGCATTCAAGCTAGGTTGGTATGTTAAGCTGACTGCATCAGTACATCACCCTGCAGTGCACTAGGGACTGACAGCTCCTTCTTGAAGATATGCAACTCTATTGATAACTTTTCTAGGCTCGTGTAAATGATTCATTTAGCTGTAAAGGCCGGGTTAGAGACTTACCTACTCTATATCATAGAACAGGGTCATATAGTCACATTAAAAATATAAAACTACCCCAGCTTTATGCTCATTAACACTCAGAACAAATTTAATTTTTCTAGGTGTAGAGCTGCTGTGTGACAGAGATGTTGATATGGCGACTCGGGTTCAGGACCTGCTGGAGTTTCTTCATGAGAAGCAACAGGAGTTGGATCTGGCTGCAGAACAGCACAGGAGACACTTAGAACAGTGTGTCCAGTTAAGACATCTACAAGCTGAGGTCAAACAGGTACGAAAACTAAGTTGTTGTTTTTTTATATATATGTTGGCGTAAGGGGTGATACTATTGGTTTCTCAGGCTTAGATTAGATTAGCCAATGACAAGTTTCCAACTATTCATTGCTGCAATCCCCCTCGATTTTACAACAGAATGTGTCACTGCATGCTTAGTGCTCAGTGTGTTCTGCCTGTGCATGACCACAAGTGATGACTCATCCTCTTTCTGCAATCTGCCTGATTCTTTTCTCTTTCGATTTACTTTTCTCTCTCTCCCTCTATGTATGTATGTGTGTATGTATGTATGTATGTATGTATGTATATACATATAGGTGAAAAATACTCTTCTTAGGAGATAAAACGTGTAAGGGGTACAACATTGGGGGGAAATGCAAACTTAAGTTGGACTTTAGCTACAGAAACAGTATTTTTCCTCACAGGAACCAAACACAGCTAAATGGTTGTGTGGGACAAGATTCAAACTTCAAATTGGGCGTAAGTTTTACTTTTAGATCAGAGTGCAGACATGCAGAGTGGTTTCAGAATTTTTCTGCATAAACATTTATTGTTACTAAACAAAGTTTAGCTTCAGCTCTGCAGATAGATTCAGTGAAACAACAGAATCAGAACAAACTCCAGAATGAGGTCCCAGTAAACAGAAATACAGTAAATTCCTCTTGAGAATGTTTTATTTTTATATACTTATTAAGTTATTTGTTTTCTGTTTGGTGATTTTGGTGTGGTTCAGAGTAGATTGAGAAGAGACATTGTTCTTTTAGTGGAGTAATTTCATCAGCATGCAAGTGTGGAAGAAAGCAAAAATGTGCAGAGATTTGAAAATATTTAATGGATGCATATTAAAAAAGGAGTTTCTTTACCTTTTTAATTCCTTTAACTAATAATTATTAGTCAATGTGCATTTAAAACAGAAGCTGCCTGATTTAAAAATCAATGTCATTGCCTCAAATTGTTCACATTACCCAAAAAGCGGTGAGTTTGTGTCTGATCCGATCATGAACAAGGAATTTTCTATCGTTGATAAAGCTGTTGGTTACAACTCGACTCTCATGGAGCAACTTGTACCTGCTGAGTTCAGAGCAAAACAAAAAGAATTATAATACAGAGGCTGATTTTATTCCAGCAGCTCTTGTTGATCCAGAAAAGCTACAACATGGTTTGTGCTTCTATTTGGAAAATTTGATGAAAGTATAACAGAAATGAAAATGAACCACAAAAACTGCTGAAATCACACAAAACGAGCTGTAGCAATAATCTCACTCCTGTGAAAGGAGACCTCTGGCAGCGTGATGGTAGAACAGTACCAACCTGATAAAGTGTATATTATAATCGTTTATAGTTATTAGCTCACTGCTAATTTCACAGGTTAGAATATTCATCCGTGTGCCACATATCAGGAGCAGATTTCAGAGAGAGAGCAGAAGTTATTCCAGACAGTCTTTTACCGCCTCGGGACATTGCAAGTGTAATGGGAATAAAACAGAAGTCCATGTCATGTTGCAGCATCGCTTTTACAGCCTGGTGTCAGTTACCGTTCTGCCGTCACCCACACAGCAAGTGTGCTCGCTGACTCAGAGACAGGGAGAGAGATGTTTTAGCGAGTCTGCCCTTTGGCAAGAACCGAGGCGGCAGAACGGCGTTCAGAAACCCTCCGGCTGTGTGATGTGTAAGACGGGGGCTGTGGCAGTAAAAAGGTAAACCTCAGAACCAAAGGCAGCTGTCATGGAGAAAAGGAAAGAGGTTTAAAAAATAATTAAAAAGATGGAGCGAAACAAAAATGTAGGAGCTGGAGCTATTTTGTCTCATGAGAATAATGATGAATGAGTGCTTGTGTGTGTGTGCGTGTGTGTGTGTGTGCATGCGTGTGTGTGTGTGTGTGTGTGTGCTTGTGCTGCAGGTGCTGGGTTGGATCCGTAATGGAGAGTCGATGCTGAACGCCGGTCTCATCACCGCCAGCTCATTACAGGAAGCTGAACAACTGCAAAAGGAGCACGAACAATTCCAACATGCAATAGAGGTGAAAGAAAAGAAAACTGCAACATCTCATAATAATATTCATTTCTCCTCTTCTTTTTATTTCCTCCACCATCATTCACTTTTTCCCTCCTTTTTGACCTTCAGCTTTCTGCTTTCATTAACACCAGAGCTTCTCACCAGTCCTCTTCTCAACACAAGTCACACATTAGATGGAAATCTGAATAGCCGATACCTCTGACTCTCATTTTCATTTCCACTCGTACGTTTTGTCCTCCCTTCTCTCTGACACAAACTATGGAGGATGCATTTTTTAAACTGAATGGACTTTCTCATGTTAATGCAGACCTGGTTTGGACCAGCATCAGCAAAGATCTCTTTAATGCAAACACTCAGAAGAAAGACACTTCATTTGGAAATGTGAGGCTGGAATTTAAACAGACAATAACCCCAACACTCAGTGCATCCTGGTAAAACTGGGATAGTCAGGATCAGATTGGTTACAGTCTGGGACCAACATAAAGCCCAAGTTAAGACTTTAACTACAATGTAGATATTTTCCATCCATGCAGAAAACCCATCAGAGTGCACTCCAGGTCCAGCAGAAGGCCGAAGCTCTTCTCCAGGCCAACCACTACGACATGGATATGATCAGAGACTGTGCAGAGAAGGTGGTGCTCAGTTTCTCTCATTTTTATTAAAACATCTGAGCAATAAGTGCAGTAATGTTTTCTAACTGTGGTTGGAAATGTATTTATTTATTGTTGTTATTTAACCTGAAGGTGGCAGACCACTGGCAGCAGCTGATGTTGAAGATGGAGGACAGACTTAAACTGGTTAATGCTTCTGTGGCCTTCTACAAGACATCAGAACAGGTATTTCTGTGTGTGTGTGTGGGGGGGGGGGTTATAAGTCATACAGCGTGAACCTAAGCTTGGACAAAAAAGAGGAAGGTAGAAGAGTTTAGTTGTTAACTGTAGTCTAAGATGGTTTCAATGCTCTTTTTCTTTACTGTTTAGCTTTTCTGTCATTCATATTAGCAATGTTTATGTTTCATATGAACACATTTCAACAGCTAACAAACACAACCTAAGTAAATCACAATTGCTGATTCAAATTATGGTTTCATTTGTTAAAAGAACAATAAAAAACTCTTCAACATAATCTTTGAGAACTTTAGGCTAAAAGATCTCAAAAGCAACACCTAGAACAGCATTAGTGGGGAAATTCTGAGGCCCAAACTTCCACTGACCAAAAATAACACAGAAACTTCTGACATTTACGAGGAATACTAAGACTTTGGGGGGGGGGGGGGGGGGGGGGGGGGGGGGGGGCAGTTCTGTTAACTGACGTGGGACTTTCTTGAAGGTGTGCCGTCCCGTAAAATTATCTGTGTTTCAGAAAAAACCATCGTAGCAACAGTCAAACATGGTGGTGGTAGTGTGATGGTCTGAGGCTGCTTTGCTTCTTTAGTACCTGGACCACCTACCATAATTGATGGATTCATAAATTCTGATCCTTACCGAAAAAGCCTGAAGGAAAATATTTGACCTTTAACCCTAAACAGGCCGTTCGTGCACGAAAACCCCCAAATGGGAAGGAATTAAAAGAATTCAGCAAACAAAGAGACAGACTTTTGACTTTTGTGATGTCCTTTCAGAGTGTATCTCTGAGCTCCAGTGTGTGTTTGTGTGTCAGGTGTGCAGTGTGTTAGAAAGCCTTGAGCAGGAGTACAAGAGGGAAGAAGACTGGTGCGGCGGTGCTGATAAACTGGGTCCGAACAGTGAAACCGACCATGTCACTCCTATGATAAGCAAACATCTGGAGCAGAAAGAGGCTTTTCTCAAGGTGAAAAATGTTATAACTTTAGATAAAATGTCATAAGTCTCACATAAAACACACATGTCTCTGTTGTGCCTTTTAATAGTAACTAGTTAAATGTTCCAATTTCTGCACATTTAAAGGCCTGCACATTAGCCAGACGTAATGCAGATGTTTTCCTGAAGTACCTGCACAGAAACAGTGTCAACATGCCCGGCATGTTGTCCCACGTCAAAGCGCCCGAGACTCAAGTCAAGAGTAAGTTAAGCAACCAGAGAACCATTATTTATGTGTCTCATTAATCAACTACTTGTTTTTTTTTCTAATAATTCCAAATGCGTTCTTATTAGTGCATTTCCACGATGATCAAAATGTTTTGTGTTTTTTTTTTTTTTACTCAGATATCCTAAATGAGCTCCTACAGAGAGAGAACAGAGTCCTTCACTTCTGGACCATGAGGAAAAGGAGGCTGGACCAGTGCCAGCAATACGTGGTGTTTGAGAGAAGTGCCAAACAGGTGTGTGTTACTGCACGTGTGTGAACCACAACATCCAGCAGATTACTGCAGACAGTGTGTTGTTTAGTATAACACACAGCTGAAATTTCTTCATACAGACACGGGAGGGCACGTAATCATGCAAAGGTTTTGCAAAACATACAAAAAATGAAATGACAGACTTTACAAACGGCTTTCTTTATGTGGTTTAGTAAATTTAAGGATATCTTTTCTACAAAGGAGTTTCAAAATATGTCCAGCCAGACTTTTTATTTATTTATTTATTTATTCATTTTCCCCCTTTAGGCAGTTCTGAACGTTTTGACCACAGGATGATTGGAACATTTCCAGAGCTTTGGTATACGAGGAAAGCCTGACTCATAAACGTAATCACTGTTTTCTCAGTCTAAAAAAAGCCTCACATCATCTTCAAAGATCCCGTGAGAAGAGTTGATTTATTTATAAGCGTCTCCATGCTCCGCGGACTGAGCTGACATCTGGATTTTTTTTTATTTAGAAAGACGAAGGTCAAGCCTTTTGGTTGTTTGACAGAATGAAAAACCACAACTCTAAAAATAAATCTTCAGTTGTGTGATGTAAAGCACGTGGCTCCCCCTGGTGGTGTTTCTGGAGCACAACACACACACACAGAGTGCTCTGCTCAGCCATTAAAATGAGGTGACATCATTCTTGTTTCTAGAGCATAACTTTCCAGGTTTCATCCCCGGGGCATGAAAGCTTTTTGGCCTCACAGTTTGACTGGACCAGTTCTGCTGCTGTGGACCTGGGTGGTATCACCTCCAGGCTCAGTTTTAAAGGACACGGGCCACAAAAAAGTACTAAGTAGGACATCCTAGAAGCAACTGCTTAAAGCAAAGCAAATTCACATGTTTCTAGCTGTAAGTAACAAAAGATTGTACATTTATGTCAAACTGCGGTAAAATGTGTCACGCAACTTTACTGGATGGAGTGGAAGAGTTCTTTAGATGGTTCAGTTTTATCTTAAATGAGTGGCTGGGTTGATTCATCTGCACCACGTTGTCACATTTAAATTTTGGAAACAAAAACTGGCAGACTGTGGGCTGAAGCCCCTGCGTTGTCCGTGCTCTGATTCTGATTGGTTGTTCGCGCAGGCTCTGGAGTGGATCCATGACACCGGCGAGTTCTACCTGTCCACACACACGTCCACCGGGTCCAGCATTCACCACACACAGGAGCTGCTGAAGGAGCATGAAGACTTCCAGATCACCGCCAAGGTTTGTGTGAAGATTTGTGTTTACAGATTTACCCATAATGCTAAAAAAAGGAAGGAGGATAAAGATTGTGTTTTACTACCTGTTTGGTAGTTTTGTGTCTGCGAGGCCCCGGTTATTGTCCTCTTTGCTGTGTCACTGTTATTGTGTGTTATTGTCTCCCTGAAGCGACACATGATTCCTAACTGCTAACCTTTTCTCTGCCACTGCTCGCCACCCTGCACCCATCTCTCTGTCTCCCCCTCCCTGAATGTGCCTCTATTGACAGCAAACCAAAGAGCGGGTAAAGCTGTTGATCCAGCTGGCAGATGGGTTTTGTGAAAAGGGCCACGCCCATGCCCTAGAAATAAAGAAATGGGTGTCCTCAGTGGACAAGCGCTACAGGGACTTTTCTCTTCGCATGAACAAATACCGAACCAGCCTGGAAACCGCGCTTGGCATCTCCTCTGATTCAAACAAGGCTGTAAGTGTAGATCTTCACCGGATGTTCATGTACTTGCAACAAAAAGCTCAACTTCATGTAGAAATTAGGATTTTCAACAACCTGGGATTAATAGTCAGCATGTATCATCTCAACTGTAGGAGCCAGGTGTTCAGGTAGAAACTGGCTGCAGTCTGATCTTGTTGTCGTTTCTCGTTCCTGTTTAAACTTTGTTTAGTGAGCAACTGCCAACAGAAAGCAAACACATCCCACAGTGTTGCGCTAACTGTTGTTAAACACCACGTAATAGCCACTTCCTTCTGTGCACAGAGTAAAGAACTGCATTTGGACATCATCCCAGCCACCGCTCCAGGGTCAGAGGTCAAGCTGAGGGATGCAGCCCACGAGCTCAACGAGGAGAAAAGGAAGTCAGCACGAAGGAAAGAGTAAGAAGCTAAAGAAACACATGCTACGTGTTATAGATGCACCCCTAAGCTATCATTCAGTTTTATTAGCTTTTTGTATTTATAGAACATGGAGTTTAATCGTAATTAGCTCTAGAGGAGGAGAACGTTATAATAAACACTGACATCTTAAAATCCAGTCAAGTCTGTAGACAAATGTTGAGCCGAGTTTATGGTGCATGCTAACAAGAGTAAATAATTATTTTAGCATTTATCACACATCATCTCAGTCTCGGTGCTATTTTAAATGTCTGTGGTCAGCAGTTGTAAATGCTTTATGGGTCGTTTTGTCACGCTGCGAGCGCAGGAGAATTGGGCCCAAAACGCAGAACACTACACGTCTCAAGGCAGGAGAGGTTGTATAAAATAAAAATCCTTTTATTAGGAAAAACAAAAACTGCAGGACTCTAAGCCAAATTCTACAGTTCCAAAGGCAAAAACAAAAGCTCACTCAAGAGCCAGGATCCATAGGTCTGTAGAGGACAAAACAACGCCGACATAAGACAATGAATCGACAACAGACTGAGACGTAGACAGGGTTATATACATTGGGGCTGGGTGATTAAGAGGATTGGACACAGGTGAGACTAATAACAGAGAGGAGGAGCAGAACGGAGTAGGGGAGGAAACCAGACCTAAACTGGGGAAGGAAGCATAAATGGACCAAAGGGAGATACTGACTAAATAATCCCAAACATAACGGAAACCTAATGATAAGTGGGGTGACGAAGGAAAACGTGAGGGAAACCTAGAGAGAACCTGGAGGGGGCTGGGGACCACAAGGAGACACATAAGGGGAACCTAGAGAGGGCTGGAGAACGCATGAGGGGGACGCAGGACGCAGAACATGACACTTTTAGGGATTTCATACAACAAGGACTTCAGGAACAGCCTCGAAACTGGATGTTTAGAGTCTGTTTCAAAGATTTGTTTATCGGTAAAATGTCTGAACACTTGGCTAACCTGGAATATAAAAGAAAAGACAAAATTAAATTATTTTCATGCTTTTGATATTAACATAGGGACCATTTCTGGTCACAGAGTCAATAAACTGATATTCTGTGCATGTTTTTTGGGAAAGAAAACCACATATTAGGCTAATTATACTAATAAAACTGAGGTAAGTGCTTGTACAGTCACATCCTGTTGTTTTAGTTCATGTCCAGTTAAATGAATGGTTGTAAAAGCCTTAACATATTTCAGTTATGTGTACGTAAACACTTTATTTTCTATCTTTTATCACAGCCACAGTATGATTTTCCTTTCAGATTTATAATGGCTGAGCTGATTCAAACAGAGAAGGCCTACGTCAGAGACCTGCGAGAGTGTATGGATGTAGGTACACGGACTTGTGTCAGACATGTTTGTGTTTTTGGATGACTGATTGTTCTCTGGTGTGTGTGTGTGCGTGTGTGTGTGTCTGTGTGTGTGCGCAGACATACCTGTGGGAGATGACCAGTGGTGTGGAGGAGATTCCTCCTGGTATTGTCAACAAGGAGCACATCATCTTTGGGAACATGCAGGACATCTACGAGTTTCATCACAAGTGTGTGACGGTCTCTTTCTTCCCGTCGTGTCAGAATCACTATTTATTCATTTGTGAATTTGTGGCATTTGGATGAGTCTGAGTGTCTTTCTGTTTCTGAGCAGCATCTTCCTGAAAGAGCTAGAGAAGTACGAGCAGCTTCCAGAGGATGTCGGCCATTGTTTTGTGACCTGGGTAAGGGACTGACTGTGCTACTCTGAGTGAGTGGGCATGGAAAATAAAATACAGAAGACTTGTGGAATGTTGCACATTGTCCTGGTGTTGGTGTTTGGCATTTAAAATTGGGATTTTCTGTGTTTTTTTCCTTCAGGCTGATAAGTTCCAGATGTATGTGAACTACTGTAAGAACAAACCTGATTCCACTCAGCTCATCCTGGAACATGCTGGACCCTATTTTGATGTAAGATCGTTTTCATGTCAAATAATCTGTGGTATGAGAAATAATTACACCCTCCTCCCTCCCCCACTGTGTGTCTGTGTAAAGAATGAGTTAAAAGACGAGATTTTCTGCTGTTTGAAGCGTGTGCTGCTTTTCCTTTTCCCATCACAGGAAATCCAACAAAGACACCGTCTTGCCAACTCCATCTCCTCTTACCTGATAAAGCCAGTCCAGCGGATCACTAAATACCAGCTGCTTCTCAAGGTAGAGCGTGCTTTAAATACACGGAGTAAGAATAAATGTTCAGACATATGGTGGTATATTAGGGACATTCAGGTGAAGTCTAATAGTCAGTGAAAAATATCAGGTTATTATATCCAAGTTAATGCAAAAATGTTAGTGAAAAAACTCCAAAATTGTATTTCAAAGTTGGGCTAAAAAGGAAATTAAGGACTAAACAATGACTGGTGCAAAGAACTGCAATACCCATAATGCCTTGCCTTAGCAAAGTATGGAGATTTTATTTGAACACAATCAATAAATAGATGGACAGAGCCCACTTTCCTAAATGTTGCTATCTCTACAACAGTCTCCAAATGTGCACACACACACTCTGTGACTGACATCTGTATGTAAGCCAACGTGTAACACTATTGGTTAATGCTGAGCAACGGGGTGGGGTGCCATCTTAGCAAAAGAAACAAAAAAAATGCAATGTCTATTTTATCGCAGTACAGAGTAAAACCCGCTTTATGAATTTCTAGAAATAATACACAAACCTGAGAGGGGAATCTCTGGCGGGCTGCATTGTTCCTCTTAATTTATACATGGTTGTGAATTTGTTGTAGGAGTTGTTGACATGCTGTGAGGAGGGAAAAGGTGAAATTAAGGACGGTCTAGAAGTGATGCTCAGTGTCCCCAAGAGAGCCAACGATGCCATGCATCTCTCCATGTTGGATGGTGTGTAGAAGCATTTCTGCTATTCATATATTCATATATCTTATCTGTTGTTGGTTTATGTCATTCACCTTTCAAATCACTGGAGCACAAACCAATTCTGTCTCGTTAACGTCTACAGGGTTCGACGGGAACATTGACTCCCAGGGAGAGTTGATACTCCAGGAGTCCTTCCAGGTTTGGGATCCCAAGACTCTGATTCGGAAGGGTCGTGACAGACACCTGTTCCTCTTTGAGATGTCTCTTGTCATCAGCAAGGAAGTGAAAGACTCTAATGGACGCAGCAAATATCTCTACAAAAGCAAGCTCTTTGTAAGAAGAACCAGCTGATTAACACCTGTGGTTCTGTTGGAAGGATGTCTAATTTGGTTTTCATCCTCGCAGACGTCGGAGCTCGGAGTGACAGAACATGTGGAGGGAGATCCGTGTAAATATGCCCTCTGGGTGGGCAGGACACCGACCTCGGACAACAAGATTGTTCTCAAGGTATCTAGATAATATTCTTATTCACTGTAAGCACACATTTCGATGCACTGACATAAAGTTGAGACTCAAAACAACTTCTCTGAGTACAGGAACGGCCTCACGTAACAGGATTGATTCCATTTTAGTATCCCACCCCCACCAAACCTCCCCATTTCCCTTTGCTCTGCCAAGTTCAGCTCCCGTAGGAGGGAAGCGTTACTTTCTGCTACTTATGCACTCATCTTACTGACATTTGCATAGAAGATGATGGGTTGGGTTATTTTAAACACACATGCTTCTACTAACTATCACCCAGTGAGCCAAAAGTTTTGTTTTTTGTGTGGTTTGTTTAATTAGTGTTTGTTAGTTTTATATTTATAAATGACACAACTATGTTTTTAAACTGCTGAGTCATGAAACCCACAGTAAACAAAGGTAACCTGCGCTACAAGAAGCAGAAAACTGCAACCAAAGAGAGAAAATCACAGGAAATGTGTTAAGATCTGGGAATGTTTGCTGCCTTATCGCATCTGAAGGCAGCTCTGCAGAAACCACGATGCAGGTTGATGAGTAAAATGGGAGAAGATTGTAGATAAGCTTCCTAAATGAACAGTTAACTGAACTGGTTCAGTTTTATCTACTAAACCTGTAATGTTGTGTTTTCTAGGCATCAAGCATAGAAAACAAGCAAGACTGGATCAAACACATCAGGGAGGTGATCCAGGAGCGAACGGTCCACCTGCGTGGAGCTCTGAAGGAGCCCATCCACATCCCCAAAGCCACCACTACCAAACACAAGGGCAGACGGTAAGCAGAATGGGCATTTATCAAAACCTAGAAAATGATAGTTGGAAATGGGATTTTAAGCAATCTCCAAAGATTCCAAAGCAGCCCAGAATGAAGAAAAATAAATATTTACCCTATAAAGATTAGGAGGATGTTGGAGTTTTTCCAAGCCGATTGGATCTACAGCCAAAAGCTGTACACTCTAAGAAATAAAATGTTAAGTTTACTTAACTAAGTTAAGACAATTGTATCTGTTAAACTATAGTTGCGTAAAGAGTAATACACATTGTATGCATTATTTTAAAATATTGCTCTTGCAACTAGGTTTAGTGGAACTAGTTTGGTTCAGTAAATTCACCGTGTCGTTTCTTAGAGTGTAATTTCTTGGCTCTGATGTGTGAATGTGAAGTACAGAGAGGATCAAGTGAAAGGTTTTTGTGTTTTGAACAATTTACATATTCTGTGTAATAACAAATGTTTATTGTTGTAATTAAATTCTATATTACAAATGAAGTATTTCAATATGGGATTGTTGTACTTTGAGTGTATTTTTGCTTCACTTTTCAGTTTTTTAAAGAGCAAGTTCACTGAGAAGCAATTTTCTTTTATTTATTTTGACATATCAGTCATTCTGAGTTTCACATGGATGCAGAACATGAAAATAGTTTTGTGCCTCTATTTCCTGCATTTACCACCGATGACAGATGGGGAAACACTCAGCTCAGAAAAAGCCACACAGTCTACATCACACTGTAAATTAGCATTCATGGACTCACCCATCTTGGCTTGCACAAGGCTGTTGCTGGTTTAGCGTCCAGGAGAGAGCAGAGCACATGGGCAAGCAGAAGCTAAGTGTTAGCATTCGCCACTCCACAACACAGCAGAACCCCTTTAGGCTTCTGTTTGTGGAGTTCAGCATTGCAGAACGAAGGGAAGAAGTGGAAGAGTCGCGTTGCTGTTTGCCAATCACAGATGAGATGTCCAAATATCATGAATATTGATAACTCCAAAACTTGCCGTGCTCTGCTCCTCACTTATTTAGCTAACTTCTACTTCCTGAAACAGGAGTGTCAGAGCATTTTTCCCACATATTAAGACTCATAAGGCATTCCTTTAAACCAGAGACCACTGATTGAAATAAGACGTGAATGAGAGCTTTAGATATCTAATTGTTGTGACTACATGTGCAGTGCTTACGTGTTCAAAACCACTTCAGCAGAGCAATGCTCGACTTAAACCACAGAAGGAGGTCGCTTATCCAGAGACTGTCCGTAAATTATTAGCTTGATGTTCCTTCCACAAAACACCCGTTTGTTCCTAACGTGTGGAGAAAAGTGAGAGTTTTTTAACAATGTGTGAATAACTTTGCTGATGATGTCTACCCAAAGGGACGGAGAGGAGCTGGACAGCCAGGGAGACGCCAGCAGCCAGCCAGATACCATCTCTATTGCCTCACGTACATCCCAAAACACACTGGACAGTGATAAGGTTAGAACACACACACACACACACACACACACACACACACACACACACACACACACACACGTAAACACACACACACACTTACCAGGCGTTAGTATTACACACTAAATAAATAGTATTTAGTTGATGGAGTCGGTCGCTGTCATTTGTTCGGATATTGCCGTCACACACCACCGTCAGAGGCTGTAAACTGCTTGAACGCAGAATACTGCCTCCACATCATTTCCTGTGAAAGTGTCTGATTGTGTTGAGGGGAAGAAACACTCCATCTGATCGAGATTTGAAACTGCGTGTGTTTGTGTGCGAGGAAAAGAATCGTATCTCACTGGAGCAGATGTCCAGCTTTGGTTATATCTGGTAATGACACCACAGAAGGCTTTTCCTCCCACGCTCAGGATGATCAATTGTAGAGCAAACACACGGAGCATGCATGGATATAAAAAAATCTTTCGCTGCCTTTTATGTCTTATTAATTACGAACCGGGGGAGGCGACTTATTTTCACATTTGATTTGGATTTTACCCAGCTCAGCCTCGCTAACTTAGCGCAGCAATCAGGGAAATTAGAAAATTACTGTGTTGAGCTTCACAGCTTGTTTAACCATCAATGCAGCACTGAGCTTGATGCTGGGGTTGCATAACCTAACACTGAACTGTTTTAAAGGCGAGGTGTGTGTTTATTCATCTGCCAGCTAGAGCCTGAAACCATCACAGACCCTAATTAATTAAGCGTTGTCTCCTAAGCGCCTCAGTTCCAGAGCCTGCTCACATGCATAAAGATTCAAAACACAGAGGAACACGTGCACATTTGAATGAGCATCTCATTCGCACTTGGTGAATGAACCTCTGTGTTCCTCTCTTTCCGAGGGGACTCACATGAGACGCTTCATTCAAGGGGAAGTGACAGTGCTGCGCCTGTGTGTGTGTGTGTGTGTGTGTGTGTGTGTGTGTGTGTGTGTGTGTGTGTGTGTGTGTGTGTGTGTGTGTGTGTGTGTGTGTGTGTGTGTGTGTGTGTGTGTGTGTGTGTGTGTTATCGTGTGTGCTCCTGTTCCGGTGTGTTTCTGTTCAAGTCACAGACTCGTGTGTCAGCAGCTTCAGCCTCCCACACGCTCTTCACAGAGGATGCTCGTCTGTGTGCCAGACAGGAGAGCACCGCTTTACCTCCTCGGAGATATTGATCTGATGCTTTGCTTCAAAATTTGGACAATTAGTGTTTTTTTTCCTTTGCTTTTATTGATAATTTTCTTTGTTTTGCCTTCAAAAGAAGGATCGATTAATTGTTTTCCAGCAAGAAACAGGGAAACAGGAGAAAATGATTCTGTAATCTGATTGGAAGAACCAGCAGAGGACATATTTTCTGCTAACTTTGGAAGTTTTTGAAGGATGTGACCATTTTCTGTCTGACTTACGCTCCTTAGCATAATGAACATAAAATATGCATAATGAGTGTCTTTTATCTGTGATTTAGATTAGCTGTAGTGGTTTTGATAAAGAGTCAGCCTGCTTTGTAGAGTTTTCTTGCTGCTTGGACAATTTTCACAATGCGGGAGTGGAAGACGATCGACAAACTCGAGGAGAGGATTTCAAATCCTGTTTCTCAGCTCCTCAGTTCTCTGGCTTTACCACACTACCAAAGGGTATGCTGCAAATGAAGATAATTAATGGAAAAGCTTGTGTTTTGCAACACTGTACTAAAGACCACGGGCGCTGCTAGAATTTTTCTGCATGTCTTTGTACTCTCAAAATGATTGAAATGATTATTTTACCCAGAGTTGTTTTTACATTATGAAAAAAAGATTATTTCTTGAAGAAAAAAGCATAAGCTGAATACAAAAGCTGCAGGCTGTGTGTGTGTGTGTGTGTGTGTGTGTGTGTGTGTGTGTGTGTGTGTGTGTGTGTGTGTGTGTGTGTGTGTGTGTGTGTGTGTGTGTGTGTGTGTGTGTGTGTGTGTGTGTGTGTGTTCTCTAAACTGATTTTACTAAAATGTTTTAGAATAAAACTTGTGCTAAAACCTGCATCTGTGGAGCCACTTGTGAAGTGCCTTCTTGTAACTTAAAAACAGAACGTCTTAAATCTCACTGATATTTTTAGATGACAGAAGAAAATAATTTTTTTAGCAGTTTTACAATTCAGTTATTTTCCAAAATTTGTTTGAATTTCCTATGTCAGTACAGCACTACTGATACCAATTGCTTGCAGTTGGAATTAACCAAAAATGATTCAATTTTTCACCAACATGTGTTAAAACTAAACAACCAGTTTTACTTGTGAACCAATGGTTTGATCATTTCCTAACTGTTGTTTAAGAAACATAAAGTTGTACAATCACCACAAAAGTAGCGTTTTTACTTCTTTGGGCCTTTTTACTGCAATGCATTAAAATTTGACAAGCTATTCTCACATGTAAGATTTTGTTTTAATCCTGTCTAGTTGTTTTTTTTAGGTTAAATTAATTAATACATTTGTTATGCTTGTTTGTTGTTTTTTAATGCATCAAAATGCAGCTTACAGTGTACATAATATCAAAACTCACCATCCTGTTGAGCTGCAATGTGAGTCTATACTGCTTCTACAAACACCCTAAACTTGAAAAAAATATCCTTCTGTCAGTGTTTGGTTTTAGGAAATATCTGCCTAAAACAAAACATTTGACAAAGTCCCTGTTTGTGACATCACAAATGGGGAAAGTAGCCATAGAACCTCTCACGTGCAACAGAGAGCTGCTGCTGCAGTGGCTCTATTATAAGTTCCTCCTGGAGCTTCTAAGCATATAGCAGCCTGAAAGGTGGATTGGTGGGTGTGGCCAGCAGCACCTTGTTTTTTTAAAGTGACAGAGCTCTGGAAGGTGCTGAAACTGCCAAGAATAAAACAGATTAAGTCTGTTTATGTGAGAAGGATTTAGTGCAAAGATCTTCATGAACATGTTTTGTACTGACCATAGAACCATTCTAACTTTTAAAAAAGTCCTAAAAGCCTCTTTTGATAAAGTGTTTGTTTCTAACTTGGCAACATTAAAAGGTGGCTTTTTATTAAAGGTTTTCAAAATTATTTTCTCAATGAAAACATCAAATTCATAGCAGTATCTTCTCTTTTAGCAGCGTTTTAGTATTATAGTGATGCTTGGACTCAAATGTCTTGTTCAGTTTTACTCACTTCTTTGTAATTTACCTTTTAATTCGGTGTGTTGATCCTAAATCTGGCTGATGAATAAATCTGTTTTGATGTATTTCTTCCCTACCAGCTCTCCGGTGGATGTGAGTTGACCGTGGTGATGCATGACTTCATGGCCAGTAATGGGGGCAGCAACGGGGGTAGCAACGGGGAGCTCACAGTTCGCCGAGGCCAGACAGTGGAGATTCTGGAGCGGCTCCATGACAAGCCGGACTGGTGCTTGGTCCGAACCACAGACCGCTCCCCCGCCCAGGAGGGGATCGTGCCCTGCTCCATCCTCTGTATCGCTCACTCGCGCTCCTCCATGGAAATGGAGGGGCTCTTCAACCACAAAGGTAGGAGCTGAATCATCCCTCCTGTCATCTCAGTAACAGAAGTAACTTGCTTTTTTCAGTCATGTGAAACTGGAAAAAGAATCGTGCGCGCCCCTTGTTTGCAGACATATCAGTGTTGACTTTCAGAACCCTTACGCCATATTGAACAGCTGCTTCGGGAAGCACAAATATGTATTTTCACGCGTTGCTATGCGACAGTGAAAAACTGCTCAGAGCACAGCTCTTGTTTTCTTATCTCACAATGTTTGGGCCTCTTCCCACTTTATATAACATATTTCTTACTTTTGGAATCCAAACCAGATTTTTGACTTACACCTGTCCCTTCATGCCTCTGCGAGTACAAGACATGAAACAATAGGCGTCTTTATGTAGGTGAAACCCTGGAGCCAGTGAAGTCAGATTGTTGTCTTTTTTTGCAAAATGCATCTAACTAACATTTTATGCTCAGATCAGAAAACCTTCTGCATGTAGGTCGAAATGTAATATTTAGACGTAGAAATTGGTGTCTTTTTGATATTGGAAGCAAGGTTTCATCACATACTTAAGGATTTAGTCAATTAAAGCAGGGATGTCGTTTTGATCTGCTGTCATGTCTTGTCAGAAGCTTTTGTCTTTGCCTTCCTCTCTTTTTTTCAGCCGGAAGAGTGGGTGAGAGCCGGTCTGCTTGTTTCTATGGAGATACAGCATACAAATATTTTTGCTGGCAGCCTCTATGTAGTTAGTCTCTATGAGGAAGATGATTTGTTTTATATTACAGGATGCCTTTACTGTGCTAACATGAATGCACATTTTTAGCATGAACTGAATGATTTACTAGAGCAGCTCTGGAGGTCAGAAAGAAAAAAAAAGATGCTTTATTGTGCACTTTTAGGTGCAGCTGTTCCCTATCTGGATTCCTTGACTGCATCTTCCCAGCTAGTTGTTTGTCTGGTCAGAAGGAAGGAAGATCAGGAGATGCTCTGAGAGAAAAAATGCTAAATAAGGAAGGAGGTGGACAGTGATGACTAAAAACCTTATTTCTACTTTTTACTGATGCTGCGCTTCACAAGACAATAATTGACTTTTTGGTGTCAGTATTAGTTTTCTGGACTAACAAGATACAGCATTGTATGGTCTGTTCAGAATATTTTTTCAGTTAGCCAGAATTTGGAAATTTGCTCAATTGATCGGGTATTTAACAATCTGCATCTGTCATTTGGAGTGTAACAGAATCAGCCTTGTGCGCCACGCCTGTAATGTTGGATCGCTGGTGAGCCATTTGCTGCTCACTTTAGTTTCATAACACATGCTATATCTGTTGCAAGTATACTGCACAACTCGTGTGCATCCTAAATGCCTGTAAAATATGCAGCCCGCCCACACAAACTGAGTGGGTGCTTCTACAAAGGGCAATACGGTAGATGAGCTGCATGTTTCCAGACGTCCCTTTGGAACAGGAGAGGAACACAGTGGAGGTTTGCCCAATATCCTCACAGCAGCCCACTCGCAAGGGAGGGTAGGAGGAAAGGAGATACAAAGAAAGAGAGAGAACATCCTACACTCTAAGGATACATTGGACTTTTTCCTTCTTCTCACACTGGACCTCACAGTTCCTCTTCCTGAAACACCAGCAATGTGGCTCCTACTTCATCTTTTTAACGACAAGTCATTTCCTAAGCAGTTCGGATCGTTGTTGGATTCTTATACATGTGGACATGCTGCAAGGGAATAAATTGTAAATCCAGAGGCTTAATATTTGGCTGACATGGCCCGTGGGATCGACTCATTGGTGTCTCTAAGCCCGTTTTTTTCTATGGATTTAACGGGACCAGAACACTCTGACAACTGCAAGTTTTGGTTGCTGGATCTGGGTAGGTAGAATAGAGGATCATTTGTAGGATACATTCAAAATGCCATTTTTATTCTTATTTTTACATTCTGCATTTGGTTGGTATAAAGATCAGATTTAAAATGAAGCAAAATGTGGCAAATTTGGCTAAGAGAAGCTAACAAGGGCCAAGTCCGTCAGTCCAGTTTAGGCTTTTCTTTTTTATGTTCAAGAAACTATATCAATAGGTAAAAAAGGCCAAGCCGTGTTTGTAGCAAGGATCTATTTTCATCGTTAAACTTAAAAAAAATATATATATATAATTACAACATTTTGTACATTTGCACATTTCTTCCAGCGTTCTACAGCGTTATCCGCTGTTATGACGTGGCTTTTTAGATCACATGCCACAAGGAATCTGCCACAGTCTCATTCACAAGATTATATTGTTGATCTTTTAGCAAGGTGTTTCTGCACAGATGTCAATAGAAGGTAATAGTAAACATTCAAAATGAAAACATGGGCGAATCCTCCGCCATATAGTCCGTTTACGAGCGTTTCAATGATGTTTCTTCTAAATTAGGAAACACGTTGTTAAAACATTACCTTTAGTTTTTAATTAGATGACTGTGTGTCGGGTCACTGTTGGTCTGTTAGTGTGATTAATGTAATTATCACACACACACACACACACACACACACACACACACACACACACACACACACACACACACACACACACACACACACACACACACAACCAACTCCAAGTTAACTTGGCAGGTTTTCTTTCTAAATCAAAGACAGATAGCTGATGTTGTTGTCAGTGGCACCCCCGAGGGGTGGCCATGACCCCCCATGGCCACCCCTGGAGGATTGTTGACCACTCTACTGAACCCCCTCACCCCCCATTTTTATTGCTAGAACAACAAATGTTGAAACAAAAATAATCAAAATGAATGTAAATGTGTTGGATGCACATTATTTTAAATGACAAAGAATAAAGGAGCAATGCACATCTACAGCCTAAATGCTACTAACGCAGTTTTATTTGCCGCCCTAAATTTTCACTGGTCCCATCTCGCCACCCCTATGAAAAATTCCTGGGGTTGTCAGTGGTTGTTCTGACAGATTGCAGGTACATACATAAGCAAAGATGCAGATGTTGGTCTTAGTCTACTAGAAAACATCTGGATTGTCTGTTAGTCTCTGCATCTCACACATGTGTTAGGAGCCATTCACTAGCAGATATCCCAGCTGAATGTGAGCACATACTGAATAGTTATGCATGAGTTCATTTGAATCAAGGCACTAAAGCTGCATGCAGGTTGACAAACTCTGCTGTGACTGTAAAAATAATCACATTCACCTCATCCGTGTTTCGCTCAAATGAGTCCTCTGATGAATTAAGCAGGAAGCGAAGCAGACAAGGACAGCACTTTGTTAATGAAGCTGGGATTTAGGCAAAAGCTTAACGTGCTTCAAACACATTGTAAAGATCTGTGTCTGAATACTTCAAGGATTTTAGGAAAGTTGTTTGTGTTGAAGATGCATAAGATAAGATCAGTATATTTATGGGTGTGTCCACTGTAGACGCAAATGAGGAAGTGATATAAATGACCCTGCACAGATCGATAAACTTGCATTTCCAACCAGAAAAGAATAGAAAGGCTGATCAGTTAGAGAGTGTGCTGCCGCTTACTGATATGAATCAATTGAGGATTTTGGAATAGATACTGTTCTAATAAGGATCCCCTAGGTGGAGGCCACAGGGCAGAAACAACTACATCACACACAGATCAGTTTAAAAGTACAAAAATCCTTTTGAGACTGTTTTCGCACCTGACTGATTTGTGTGTACATGGTGCGTTTGAATGCTCGGTGGAAGCTGGGAAATCCAAATTTCCTTTGGATTTAGTAACTTGTGTTGACAGGACAAATATGTTTTTCTGTGGAAAAATATAGTATCTCAGGATTCTGTAGTTATAAAAGATAGACCTACATTTAATTTTTAATAATCTAAAATTGTTTATTTGGACATACTGTATGTGTTTGTTAGCCATGAAAACGTAGTGAAAGGGTTGTAAATGACTAATACGCAGAGTGAATCTCTGAGTGGAAAAAAGCAGGGTTCAAAAGGAGAGAAGGCACAAGAAGATTGTACGGAGTCATAGGGCGCCTAAGTCACACCCATCTACTTTTGGACCTCGGAAGAATGAAAACATGAATGCAAGTGTGGTGCTAAAATGCTCCATTCTAATTCCATTTGTTATGTGCCATGGATTTCAAATATGATGTCCGTGAATTTTAAAGACATTTTGATACCTAGAACTCGCTTATTTTCGAACGGGGGAAATGCTATTTTAGGTTTAGTGTGAAAACAAGGAGTACAAATGCGCTTCACGAAAGTGACGTCATCGAACCAGAAACAGAGAAAAACAGAGGGAAAATGGCGGTAAGTTCAGTGAACTTCAAATCCTTTCTTCAGGAGGAAAGAACCACCATAAATCTGTGACTGGCGTGGTCGAAACACCCATCATTAGTTTTCATTTAAATAGTTTTCATTATTGTGCACACACATAAACTGGCCCAAGAACCACTTCCTTGTCTGGGGACAGTGTGTCAATCTTTCAGACCTATAAAACATCTTAAATGGTGTAAAATAATAGCTGTCTCATTATAACCTGACTGCAAAACATGCTGGATTTACTTTTACTTACTTCAGAGGAAAGATCACCAGGACACTGCACCATCTTCTTGTGCCATCTCCCAGTTTGAAGCCTGCTTTTTCCAGTCAGAGAACCACGCTGCCATTTATTAGTCATTTCTTTTAAACCTTTCACTACGTTTTCATGGCTAACAAACAAATACTGTATGTCTAAATAAACAGTTTTAGATGATTAAAAATTAAATGTAAGTCTATCTTTTATAACCACAGGATCCTGAGATGCTCTATTTTTCCACAGAAAAACATATTTGTCCCATCAACACAAATTTAGACCAATTCCAAAGGAAATTCATATTTCCCCGCTTCCACCCAGCATTCAAACGCACCATGTACACACAAATCAGTCAGGTGAGAAAATAGTCTCAAAAGGATTTTTGTACTTGTAAACTGATCTGTGTGTGATGTAGTTTTGTCCGTGTTTACCAGGTGATTCGTGTGTGTGTGTATTCAATGAATTGTATGTGTAAGAACTGAAGTTGCACACGAAAATGTAAACACAAGTTACAAATCAAGAGTTACACGCACACAAATCTTTAGTTAGGCTACATGCACACAAATCTAGATACACATGCACAAATTTAGATACAGTTGTGGTCAGAAGTTTACATACACTTGTAAAAAATATAATATAATGGCTCTACTGAGTGTCCCGTTATTTCTAAAACTCTGATTTTTCTCTGATAGAGTGATTGGAACAGATACTTCTTTGTCACAAAAAACATTCATGAAGTTTGGTTCTTTAATGTCTTTATTATGGGTTAACAGAGAAAAGTGATCCCATTTGCTGGGTCACAAATATACATACAGCAGTGCTAATATTTGGTTACATGTCCCTTAGCCATTTTCACTTCAATCAGGCGCTTTTGGTAGCCATTCACAAGCTTCTGGCAAGCTTCTGGTTGAATCTTTGACCACTCCTCTTGACAGAATTGGTGAAGTTCAGTTAAATTTGATGGCTTTCTGACATGGACTTGTTTCTTCAGCACTGTCCACGTTTTCAATGGGGTTTAAGTCAGGACTTTGGGAAGACTATTCTAAAACCCTTATTCTAGCCTGATTTAGCCATTCCTTTACCACTTTGGTCGTGTGTTTGGGGTCATTGTCCTGTTGGAACACCCAACTGCGCCCAAGACCCAACCTTCGTGCTGATGATTTTAGGTTATGTTGAAGAATGTGAAGGTAATCCTCCTTCTTCATTATCCCATTTACTCTCTGTAAAGCACCAGTTCCATTGGCAGCAAAACAGCCCCACAGCATAATATTCCCACCACCATGCTTGACTGTAGGCATGGTGTTCTTGGGGTTAAAGGCCTCACCTTTTCTCCTCCAAACATATTGCTGGGCATTGTGGCCAAAATGCTCGATTTTCGTTTCGTCTGACCACAGAACTTTCCTCCAGAAGGTCTTATCTTTGTCCATGTGATCAGCAGCAAACTTCAGTCGAGCCTTAAGGTGCCGCTTTTGGAGCAAGGGCTTCCTTCTTGCACGGCAGCCTCTCAGTCCATGGAGATGCAAAGCGCGTTTGACTGTGGACAATGGCACCTGTGTTCCAGCAGCTTCTAATTCTTGGCAGATCTGCTTTTTGGTGATTCTTGGTTCACTCTTTACCCTCCTGACCAATTTTCTCTCAGCAGCAGGTGATAGCTTGCATTTTCTTCCTGATCTTGGCAGTGATGAAACAGTGCCATGCACCTAATACTTACAAACAATTGTTTGCACTGTTGTTCTAGGGACCTGCAGCTGCTTTGAAATGGCCCCAAGTGACTTTCCTGACTTGTTCAAGTCAATAATTCGCTTTTCCAGATCCATGCTGAGCTCCTTTGACTTTCCCATTGTAGCGTTTGTGGGCGTTTGTATCCAATGAGCCCTATTTACCTGGCCTAAGAGAAGTCACCCGCTGTAGTCACTCATAATCACTCACAAGAAGTTAAGAGGCCATGCTATGAAGCTCAGTTCATTGACACGTTTCTAAGTCACCAAAATTGCTAGTTCATGCTGCTGTATGTATATTTGTGACCCAGCAAATGTGATCACTTTTCTCTGTTAACCCATAATAAAGACATTAAAGAACCAAACTTCATGAATGTTTTTGTGACAAAGAAGTATCTGTTCCAATCACTCTATCAGAGAAAAATCAGAGTTTTAGAAATAACGGGACACTCAGTAGAGCCATTATATTATATTTTTTACAAGTGTATGTAAACTTCTGACCACAACTGTACACACGCACAAATTTAGACACACACACACACACACACACAGATCTTTTGAGACTTTTTTCTCCCCATAGATGAGTGGCCTGTTTTAATTTGTAGACTTGGAACGTAAATTTCTGCTGTCTGAATTTCCAAGCCGTCTCAATGCAACAGTGGTAAATGTGAAATGCTTTTAGCCAACGGTGTGGTTAAATGTTCCTTTGTGACCCCAGCATGTTAGCAGGAAACACGATCTGGTTTGGTTTGATAAAAGCAGAGGTTTACTCAACCCTCCCACTGTCCTCATGGGTGACCCTGCCAGGGAAGTAGACCATTGAGCAGGATTGATGGTTTATCCCTTGAGGTCCACGTGGCAGGGGTGGCGCTCACTCCTCACCCCTGCCAGGCAGACCTCAAGGGATAAACCATCAATCCTGCTCAATGGTCTACTTTCCTCGTGGGGTCACCCATGAGGACAGTGGGAGGGTTAAGCTCTACAATTTTCTAAAAAATATATAAAATCAAACAAAAATCAGTTTAGCTTTCATTTTGTTCTTCCTGCTGTCCCTTTTTTCAGAATAAGCCACAAATAACCAAAGAATTTAAAAAATATTTGAATTTACTTAAAATGAATGTTTATTATACTGTCTTAACATCCCTGGGAAGACTTAAATGAGACAAACATGAGAATAAATCCCTCCAGAGTGAATTTGTTCTGTAGAAGAGAAGCAGCCTCACACTCCAGATGGTTTGTTATGAAAGAATCCTCCAAGAAGTTTGTTGTTCTGTGCAAATGTTTTAGAAAAGGAGGGGAAACATCTTAGCAGGTGTTTGAAGCCAGTCGGTGAACAGGAGCGGTGGTTGTTGATCGCCCTCACCTAAAACAAGCTGTGAGCTGCCAGTTTACTGAGCTACAGTGTCCAAGATCCACTGTTGCGATGCAATTCTGTCTCACAGTTAGAGGGAGACTTCAGAACATGTTAGCAGGTGGAAATCTACTCCAAACCCCAATTGGATGTCATCATTTGACCCCAAGCAACAAAACAAATCCTTCTGTCTCTTCATTTTTTCTCTAAATAGATTGTTTGGCTTGAGAGCATTTGCAGAGCAGTCCAAGTTTTGCCCTCCATGTAAGAAGGAACTTCATTTTGAGTTTGTCTAGTAAAAAATAGAACTGTAAAATACATTGTTGCATCATGCTTTCCCTTGATATGTTGTTCTAAAAATCCCAACATGACAGTTTTACAGAATCTTTGAAGAAAAATGTTTATTCTGACCTTTTCACTCAGGCTTCATCAGCAGGAGATGCAGAAATCTGTTCTCCTGGTTCCTGATGTGCTAGTTTTCCTGGGAACCAAACGTTGCTCTTTCCTTGGTTGTGCAGTGAGACCACATGGTTTTTGTAAACAGAGAGCAGTAAAAACGTGTCTCGAGGCTGAGTGACTTGCATGCATGCTCACATGCAGATGCACTTTCTCAGGCTGCATGAAAGTGTTGTTGTGAGAAGAGGCAGGATCTCCACACCTGCCATTTAGGAGCTCCGTTCCAGTGACTCACAGGATTTAATCTTTAGCAGCTGCGTCTGTTTCATATTTGAGACATACAGATTTGTTGTGCTACAGCAGCATTTCTGATGTTAGTTTGTTAAGAAGGAGGGAAATAAAAGAGGAGTGAGGAGTTAGAGGGGTACACATGACTTAAAGCACTCAGAACAAAGGCTGCAGCATCGTTATCTAGTTGATTTATGTTCGTTGTGTGGAGTTTTCCTCCTACAGATTCCCCAAGGAGCATCATCACTGTGTGGAGGTGGCTCGCCTGCCTACTGAACATAAAATAATCCCTATTATATATTAACTTTTTCTCTTTTCTCTGACATGAGGCAATGCCAGCTGCTTTTTTTACTTATTGTTGTCATGGGAAGTTTTTGACGAAACCCATTTAACAAGCTGTTTTCAGGTTAGTGTGTTTACATATTGTGCTCCACGTCACTGACCTCGTTTCTCCTCCTCCTTCTTAGACACCTTGTCCGTGTCCAGCAATGATGCCTTGCAGCCTGGCTCCAGCCAAACCCTGGGGCCGCACAGCTCTCCGGGCCCCAAACGTCCTGGGAACACCTTAAGAAAGTGGCTAACGAGCCCCGTGCGGAGACTCAGCTCTGGAAAAGCAGATGGCCATGTCAAGAAGCTCGCCCACAAGCACAAGAAAAACCGCGACGGCACCAGGAAGAACATGGACACCATGGTTGGCTCGCAGAAGGACTCTGACGACAGCGCAGCCACGCCACAGGATGAGACCCTGGAGGACGTAAGACTGCTAAAAATATTCCTGAACCTAGTAGTTTGGATTAGAACCTGATTGGCAAACACCTTTTCTGTCTCCAGCGTATGCGCAATGAAGGGTTGAGCAGTGGCACCCTGTCCAAGAGCTCTTCATCAGGAATGCAGAGCTGTGGCGAGGAGGAAGGAGAGGAGGGGGCTGATGCTGTTCCTCTACCTCCACCGATGGCGATTCAGCAGCACAGCTTGCTGCAGCCTGACTCTCAGGATGACAAGGTGGGTCACAAAGAACCAGCCAACCACATGGATTCACATACAGCTCACAGAGACTCAAGGGTTGTTTTTCTTTCCTTTGGTTTAATTATACTGCAGTTTAGAATAAAAGCTTCCTCTGCATTGTGATGAGTCATATATGTGAATATTTGTGGTCAGAAGGCGGACTCTCAGCTGTCAACAAATGAAATGTAAAAAAGTTTAACATTTAAATTTTGCTTTGAAAATCCTGATTCACTTATTTTTTTTTAATCTTGCCCTGGCTTCCCACCAAATGTGTAAGTGTTGCAGAACACCTGCGACACATCATACACAGCTAATAGCCGCCATTATGGGCGATGGGTGCGCTTCAAACGGCCGCAAAGGGGAGTGTCTTGTACGCGTCCAGGAAGCGCATTGTTGCGTTGCGCTGCTTATTTTACGAGCTGGGTCTATTTTTTACCTTGTACACTTCCATAATGAGTTCAGATTGGGCCGGACAGGAAATCAAGCATGGGGGACTTTCAAAATAAAAGGCACTTCTAGGTTTGCAGCGGCTTATTGCAGCAGTCCAGAGCGTTTCCCTTTTCTGGACTTTTGTATGATTTTGTAAAACAAAAGTGATGAGCTTATCCTGGACTGGGGTGTACTGTAAGCAATACTTGCATATTTCCACCTCTAGATGGTGCTCTTTCAGATAAAAGGAAAATCTGTATTTCTGCTTTTACTAGTAAAACAAAGTTTACCCGTGAAACATTCGTGGTTGAGGTAAATGAACAGAAAACAAACCGCAGACCTTTTTGAATTCATGCTTCTGTCTTCTTCATCATTTGCTTACTGCCAAAATCACGCGTAATCCTTCACTTATCTGGTGGGAAATAGCGCACTGCTGAGCTCACAGGGGAAACGTGTCTATTATCTTGCACGTCGCTAATGCATCCCGTGGAAAGCCGGGCTACACGCCTAACTAAAACGACCTTCATCTGACTTTCCTTCTGATCAAACGCTAACAAAAACGCAATGCAACGTTTATTTTGCACTAATAACGCCTCTTTTTTTCCTCTTTATGTTCTTAATGATTTCTCCTTCAGCATTATGTGGATTTCTGCTCTGCCTCTCTTCTGTCCCCGTTTCCCTTTCTCTCCATCTAAATGCACTCAGCCATCATCATTTCCTTTGAATCCTCTTTACAGCATTAATCTGACTTTTGATAACTAAACGCCACAATGCCCGTGGACTGTAAATGTTTCAGGGTTGCTGAAGTGGATGCTCCAGTTGCATGTGTCTGCAATAGTGTGAGGTTTATGGGAGTGAGTAGTTGTGCTCAGAGGATAGTTATATTGCTTCCCTGAAGCAAATGGAATATTGTGCTACACTGTTTGCTAAATTTTCTGATGAATCACAACACATGTGCTTAGATTAGGAGCACTCCAAGTCCCTGAAAATGCCCCCTGACCTTAACTGCACACCGTGACCCCTGTTTCCCTGAAACCAGCCTGTGATTGGCTCCGACTTGGCCCCTGAGTAAAGGTTTCATTAAGAAAAATCAAGTTCTTTTATAGACGTGGAATGTGAGGGGTCCAAACACAGCCCGTGGTGAGCCCGTCCACGTTCACAGTGAATCTTATGGAATGAGTGCATGCAAAAATAAAAGACTTCAGTCTTCTTTACAGCGTGAAGTAAGATGATATTTTATTGGATGGAAAAGGTAAAAGTACAGTTAGAACAGTCACTAACATAGCAGCGTTGGAACAGTTTTGATAAAGTTCCTTTCTTGGTTAATGCGAGGCCTGTGCAGCCATTTATTGATCAGAGCAGGAGAAAAACATTGTTTTGAGTGTCGGATAATCAACATTCAAGCTAAAAATCCAACCATCAGCCAAGTATTTAGTGCATCCTAAATTTTAACAAAAGAGCCATTTTTGCTAAGAATCCCAAACCCTTCCCTGACTTAGAATGACTCTGGTGGCACTTTTACATGAACGTTTGGTATTTAGTCGTCTACTTTGTCTGTTTTTCAGTCTGCATCTCGACTGTCGACTCGGCCTAGCAGCTCAGAGACGCCGAGCGCTGCCGAACTGGTTAGTGCCATCGAGGAGTTGGTGAAGAGCAAGATGGTGAGTAAGAAAGTCATAAACAACACCCACGAGTACTTGTAAATGTGGCACACTTGTACACATAATAATTGTGATAGATGTGCATGCAAACACTTTTTTCCCTCTCTGGTGTTGGCCACAGAGAATCCGAGCCTACTTGTCATCTGTCAGGACTCTGACTAACTAGGCCAGCTGTCCTCTGTTCCAACAAACGGACACTTCTCTCTGTCCAGCATAAAGTGCATGCCTCATTTTCACGACAAGGATGATAAAGAGCAAAGTCATTGCTGTTGTCTTCCCCTTCTTCATGCTTACTGATTCCTCCTCCTTTAGTCCCTGGAGGACCGTCCCAGCTCTTTATCGGTGGAGCAAGGTGACAGCAGCTCTCCATCTCTCAACCCTTCAGATAACTCCCTCCTCTCCTCCTCTTCACCCATCGATGAGATGGAAGAACGCAAATCAGGCTTCCTTAAGAGGAGACAGTGAGTTTCGTGTGTTGATGATGACATTTTCCTCACTCCTGGAGAATTTTGCAAACATTGTTTTGTTTGTTGTTTTCTGCCACTCAGTTACGTGTTACTGGAGCTGGTGGAAACCGAAAGAGACTATGTTAGAGATCTGGGATCAGTGGTGGAGGTAAAATAAAAATCAAATGTCTGACAGTTTTTCATTTGTGTCTTTGGAGATTTTGCTGATTTGTTGGCTTTTCCATCTTTAGGGCTACATGAGCAGGATGAAAGAGGAAGGAGCCCCAGATGACATGAGAGGAAAAGACAAGATCGTCTTTGGAAACATCCATCAGATCTATGATTGGCACAAAGAGTATGCTGACGCACTCCCTCAACCAAACTCACAGTTTCTGCCTTAAATTACTTTTAAAGCCATTTTATATTCAACAAGTAAAATAATAAAATATTTATCCTTTGGTCTATTACGTCTATATCTATAGTTTCTTCCTGGGAGAGCTTGAGAAGTGTCTGGAGGATCCCGACAGGCTCGCTTCTTTGTTTATCAAACAGGTACAACTGTTCATTTCTGCCGTCTAAAACATTTACAGAAGTAGCTTTATTTGGCTAAACTTCATGAAAACTAAATAAATCTCACTTTTTTTACTGTTTTTGTTCAAATCCAGGAGCGGAGGCTGCACATGTACATCGTGTACTGCCAGAACAAGCCTAAATCTGAGCACATCGTGTCAGAGTACATCGACACCTACTTTGAGGTAAGTGTGTTTGGTAACTTTACTCTGGTAACTTTACTCTTTACTCTTGGATAATCATATTTATTTATGTTTATCTTCTTAATCAGGACCTCAAGCAGCGATTGGGACACAGATTGCAGATCACAGATCTGTTGATCAAACCAGTCCAACGCATCATGAAGTACCAGCTCCTGCTGAAGGTTCCCCTGATATTCAACATATGCATTTGTATTGTAACAGCAAGCATAATAATACTGCACTCGGTTAACTCTTTCACAGGATCTTCTCAAAGTCTCTAAGAAAGCAGGAGCAGATACGACAGAGCTGGAGGTACAGAATGAAACATTGAAGACATAATGATGCTTTTTGGTCTGTGAAAACATATTTTTACCTTTACAAATGTCTTCTGGTTTGGCTTTTTTTTTCACACAGCCAATACACTGTAACATTGAACTTGTAAAAACAAAATACATTTTTCAAAAGAGGATTTTGTGCAAACATTTGGGATTTTTATATGCTGATCTTTTATGTGAGACCAAAAACCAAAACAGAAAAATTCCTAAGAGGGTCAAAAGCTCACACATGCATGCTCATAAGAAGGCAGTTAAACCTAAATAAATCAGGAGAATAAAGCACTTTGTCCTTAAGTCTTTGTACTTTAATATTTTATTACAGAAAGCTGTAGAAGTGATGTGCGTGGTCCCAAAGCGCTGCAACGACATGATGAACGTTGGAAGGCTTCAAGGTTTTGATGTAAGGCAGCTCTTAACATCCTTACAGTGGTCCTTATACCTCTAAAAAGCAATCGTTAAGGTTTTTTGTCTGTATAAATGATTTTTCTGCTAACTTTAACCCCTAGGTGTCAGTGTGCCCCGACTTATTCAAAGTTTTAATTTTTCGGATCCATTTTCTGTGACCTAAATTAATGTCATTTGCTCTCAGGGTAAGATTGTGGCTCAGGGCCGACTGCTCCTGCAGGACACCTTCATGGTTTCAGACCAGGATGGAGGCCTCCTGTCCAGAATGAAAGAGAGGAGAGTTTTCCTCTTCGAGCAGATTGTTATATTCAGTGAGCCTCTGGACAAAAAGAAGGGCTTCTCTTCTCCTGGCTACCTCTTCAAAAATAGCATCAAGGTTAGTGCAGCTCGATAAAAAAGCTACTAACAGAGTGAGATCCGAGCTGCTGTTTGACTTACATAAACGGATATTTTCTTTTTCTTCTGTAGGTGAGTTGTTTGGGTCTGGAAGAATATGCAGAGGACCCATGCAAGTTCACGCTGATTTCCAGATCTTCCAGTGGAAACCTTGAGAGGTTCACCCTCCATTCAACAAGCAGTGGGGTCAGTCAGGCCTGGATCCACCAGGTCAGCCAGATTCTGGAGAACCAGCGCAACTTTCTCAACGGTAAGAAAAGAAGCTACTTTGTTTTTTTTTTACAGAAGTCAGGAGGTCAATCATGCTGCCTTTCTTGTCCCACAGCTTTAACGTCACCCATAGAGTACCAGAGGAACCATGTGGGTGGGGGAGGACAGAGCGGACCCCCCAGCAGTAGCAGTAGTACAGGAGGGCTCCCTGGAGGTAACAGCAACCCAAACATGGGAGGTGGAGGAGGAGGAGGGGGAGGAGGACCTGGGGGGAACTCCTCCTCCCTCTGCGGACCTCGCTCAAGACCGTCCCGCATCCCGCAGCCTTCCTCACGTCTCCCCCAGCCAGTACATCACCATCACCCCCCGGGCCCTGAGGGGCCCGACAGATCAGCAGGTATGTGGTCACCCAGCCACCCCCAGTCCTGTCAGCCCCACCCCCGTTACCCTTACCCAGACAGCACGATAAACGGGGAGCTGTTAGCCTCTGGGAGTCCTAAGATGAGGAGACTGGATAGAAGTAACTGTAGTAAAAACCCTTTAGGCGGTATGGATGGTGGCTTCAGAGAGGTTCTAGGGGGCTACGAGGAGAACCAGAAGCATCAAGTAGCCGCAGTCCCTCGGATGACTGTTGCTCCTTTGAGTTTTCCCATCAAAAGCTCTCGAGTTGGGACAGTGTCCCCCCTTATTTCACCTCAATCCCCAGAAGGAGGAAAAGAACCATGTGTCCCTTCAATCCCAGCACATAAAGGGAACCCTTTTTGGGCTGTGGTACCCCCCATGCCTCCCTCTCCTGCTAGCAGGGCAGGCTCCTTCTCCTTCCCCAGTGACACTAGTGGTGGAAGTGACTCTTTGGGCAGAGGAAGTCTCGGGTCGTCGTCCTACCACCGCAACTCCAACCACAGTAAGGATGTAGACCGCATGAGCACCTGCTCCTCCACCAGCGAGCAGTCCATAAACTCCTCCCAGAGCAACGGGGTAAGATCCAGGTCCAGTCAAGTTCCAGGTTCTAGTGAGCTCTAGAGCTCCTCACTACTAACTAACCCCCTTCCTCACAGCCACCCAGCTGCTGGCTGTAAGAATGGCTTGTTCATGCAGCGACTACTGAAGATTAATGACCACCTGTGTGCACTAACTCCACCAACAGTGACCCGTCTCCCTGAGTGCCTGCTGTATCTGCTCTTTCAGACGATCTGCATCCGTTTGCGTTTCAGCTGTAACTGACAGACACTAACCAGATGGTCTGACAAACACCACTTCTACTTTCCACTCACCCTTCTTCGTGAATAATCTCAAGTGATCTCTGATCACAGAACAACTGTGAACTCTTTTGAACTCTACAGTGTCTGCACCAACTACTGTTTGCCAACTAAAACTCTGTTTTTCTGATGTTGTTTTGTCTAGATTTCCTCTTTATTAAGGTTTAAAGGCATTGTGTATTTTTGGAAAGTAAAGTTTAGCCCTTTACCATCACGATCACGACGCTGAACATAGATTTCTTTCTTCTTCCTAATGAAAAAATAATCTCATTGCTTTTATTGCTGCTTGCATTAAACAAACGCCTCATTCGTGTTTGTTTCCACCAATCGAACGGCATTTTCGATTGGTGTTGGTTGCTCTTGTATATCAGAAGTGTTTGTTTGTGTGTGTGTGTGTGTGTGTTTTATTGGTTGAGTCTTTAATGTGTGTGATCTTCCTCTCCAGCAGAGTGAAAACAGCAACAGCAGCAGCAGCGTGTCCACCATGCTGGTGACGCAGGACTATGTGGCAGTGAAGGAGGATGAGATCAGTGTGGTGCAGGGTGAGGTGGTCCAGATGCTTGCCAGCAACCAGCAGAACATGTTCCTGGTGTACCGAGCCTCCAATGAGCACTCGCCTGCCGCTGAGGGCTGGATACCTGGCTATGTGTTAGGACATACCTCATCCTCTACCACACCAGAGCTAACCGAAGGAACCATAAAGTGAGAGCATCTTTAGTGTGACACACAAATCAGAACAGAACATCAGTAAAAACTAAAAACACCATCCTTTCTGGCTTTGGGTTAGAAAATCATTGTCATGGCATACGGCGCTGCGCATCCGTCGAAAGTCTGAGAAAAGAGATAAGGAGGGCAACGGCTACCGCAAGTCTCAGGACAGTCTGACTAACAAGGTCTCAGTCAAGGTGAGAAGTGTTAGGGTTTAGAACCCTCTCATTCTGTCTTTCACACCAAAGAAATCTCATTTGAATCTCTATTTTTGCAGCTTTCAAATCCCAGCTACATCTGCGATGGTAAGTTTGTCTTACAACTTTCCTGTTGGTTCGTTTAAAAATCTGCTTCATGTGACTCTGGAATTATTTTCCCTCCCTCAGCACCTCCAGAATTCCTCATTCCTCTCAGCGATGCATCGTGTGAGAGCGGTGAGAGCATCACCTTGAGGTGTAAACTCTGTGGCCGACCTCGGGCCTCTGTCTCTTGGCGAGGACCTGAGAACAACATCCTGAGTAACAATGAACGCTACAGCCTCACATACAGGTGAACGTTACATCGTATCAGTATCACAGAATGTCCACATGTGGTGACGGTAGGAGAAAAAACAACTTGCAGAGGAATAGACAGAATGGTATCCTGCTAGAGGTCCAGGGATTGGACCGCTAAAGACTGACCTCAAGTCGTTTTCTCTGATGAATTCTGGTTTTGATTTTATGGTGCATCTGGAAAAATGATATTTTAGTGTAGAAAAGGTGTTCGTTACCGTCCCTCATGTGTCAGTCCAGTGAAGCATCCTGAGACCATTCCAGTGCGAGGTTGTTTCTCAGCCAAGGCAGTGAGCACACCCGCAGTCTAGCCCCAGAACAACCATGAACAAAGGTGGTACCTAAGCATCCTCCCAGAGGAACTCCTCCCAATCACCCAAGAACAGTGTGGTGATGAATGATGTCTTTTCCAGCATGATGGAGTCAAAGGCCAATAAGGCTAAAGTGATAACTGACTGGGGTGGGTTGGAGCAGGTTGCTACGGTATTTTGTTTGTTACCGTTGTAAAAGCTGAGTGGCTGGCATCACACAACACATTTTATTAATTGAGAAACATAAAGTGTCACTGCATGTGACAAGCAAAATAAACACCAACGTGTTGTTGTTTGTATCATTATTTGTACACAAACGTGAGCTGCCAGCTAGTAGTAACGAGGTTTGGTTGGCTTCAGAACTACAAACATGCCTCGCTGTCATCAGCATTAGCCACACACAGGATGGTACGCATGTAGGTTTAAACCCGCCAAGTGGGAGTCCTGGCTGACCCATACCGGCCCACAGTGACCTGCTCTGACCCAGATCAGCTCAAGTGGCTGAAGGAACCGAATGTATTTTTTTGTCCATGGACAAAAAAACTCCTCAGACCCTGGAAATTTGGGAGAAACAAACAAAAACCCACATATTTTTGATAAACTCTGAGCCTGATCATGGTCAGACGCCCTAGAAGTTAATAATCAGGGTTAACTGCACAGGTCACGAAAAAAAAGACCAACACTGTAAAACATGACAATATTTATCAACCTCATGTAAATGTCAATAGAAAACTTAGAAACTTCTAAAAAGAGCTGATAAAAAGAGCTAAATTCACTTAAAACTTCACTTATCTGTGGCTATAATGTGTCTCGCGTTTTTCTCTCTGCAGCGAGACAGGAGAGGCAGCTCTGCATGTTCTGGGAGTGTCTCTGGAGGACAGTGGTGTGTATACCTGCGTGGCCACAAACATAGCAGGCAGCATCGCCTCCTCTGCCAGCCTTACTGTGTCAGGTACAAACCTTTTCATCAACCATCTGCTGGTCCACTATATGACCCATCCAGATGGTACCTTCACTTCTACTTTCTGTTTTAAATATCCCAAATGTCCTCTGCAGCTCCTGATGATGGCAGTGAAGACATCTGGAAAAGTAGCTTTGAGTTCTTCTACACAGAGATTACTGAACTTGGAAGGTAAGGTGGAGCTGAGGAAATCTTCCTTTGAATTTTATGTCTAGGGGAAGCTGATTGAATGCATCAAAGCTACAGATATGTTAGATTTATTACAATTATTCTATAATAGTAATATGAACAAATCACGCACAACCACTGGACACAACAACAAAACATAAGAACATGAATCAAATTATTCAATCAAATTTGTGATAAAAGTAAAAAAATGTTTTAAATAAGTTCAAATCTCCTGCAGCAAACTGCTCCACAGGGAACAGAGTCATGCATCTGCACACTTTTACTTCTTCTGCACCTGACTGTGCAGGTTATTTAGCACAATTTATGAATACAGCGAGCCACATCCTTGCTCTGCAGGGGCCGCTTCTCAGTGACTAAGAGGTGTGACCAGAGAGGGAGCAAACGCACCATCGCAGCCAAACACGTCAACAAGAAGCTGCTGCGTAGAGAACAGGTGCTGCAGGAGATCAGACTTCTCCAAACTCTGGACCATCCCAACCTGGTCAGACTGCTGGACACATATGAGACGGCCAACAGCTACGTCCTTGTCCTGGAGATGTGAGTGTGCAGTAGACTCCTTGATGTTACAGAGAAAGTGAGACGCCACTAATGCGCTTCATGTTTGTTTTAGGGCAGATCAGGGACGTTTCCTGGACTACATCGTGAGCTGGGGTAACCTGACGGAGGAGAAGGTGGCTTTATACCTCAGAGATATTCTCGAGGCCCTTCATTATCTGCACAGCTGGAAGATAGCACACCTTGATCTCAAAGTAAACACAGCATCTTTCATGCTAAGAGAACTCTGTCATTTATGGTTGAATATATTTCTCCGGGCATTAATTCCTTTCTGTGCGTGCTCCTGCAGCCTGAGAACATCGTGGTGGAACATGTGTCCTGTCAGCCTGTGATCAAGCTGACAGACTTGGGCGACGCTGCTCAACTGAGCCATCGTTCCTCCTATATCCATCCTCTCCTGGGAAGCCCTGAGTTCTCTGCTCCTGAACTGATCCTGGGTCAGCCCGCGTCTCTGATGTCTGACCTCTGGAGTTTAGGTATAGTCTAATACAGGCCATCACAGATAACAAGCACGTTGTTTAATTCCATAACTTGTTTCCCGTGCGTAATGAAAACAGAAACAGTCTCAGTATGTTTTTACACATTGTCTCAGTATATTTTTGTGGCGGTGGAAGCTGCGCCATGATTCTCTGCGTCGTTGCTGCTGTAAACAGCTCGAGAGCAACGCTCAGTCTGATGCATCTGCAAACGCACACACTCTGTGATTGACATCTGTATATAAGCAGATGATCAAGTAAAATAGCACGAGACGCTACGGGATGGTGGTGGGAATGGCAACAAAAAAAAAGGTGACATATTGCCGAATGACAGGATAAGACTCACTTTTGTGGATTTCTAAAAAATCCTGCATAATTTTAAAAATGGGAAAACTCTGGAGTTCTGCTTTAATGTGTGATTGCTTTTCAGGTGTGGTGACCTATGTTCTTCTGAGCGGCGCCTCTCCATTCCTGGATGAAAGCCTGGAAGAGACGTGTCTGAACATCTGTCGCCTGGACTTCAGCTTCCCCGAGGACTACTTCCAGGGTGTGAGCACGGCTGCCAGGGACTTTGTCTGCCTGCTGCTCCAGGGTGAGCCGGAGCGACGCCCCCCCGCTGTGTCCTGCCTGCAAGAGCCGTGGCTCCAGCCTCCGGGCGTGTCGAACCGAGATGAAGGATACAGGCCTTTTAATCACACCCCACCGTCGCCGATTCATTACAGCAACCACCTGGACACGTCCAGGCTCATCTCTTTCATCGAGCGGCGGAAACACCAGAATGACGTTCGGCCCGTGGGCGCCGTTAAGGCCTTCCTCCAAAGCCGTCTTCACAATCACACCTGAATCTCACAAAAGGAAGAGAAGGGTAGATTGAATTCCTGCAGGTGCCGCTCTCGTCCCCTCTTCCTTCACAAAGCCACAGAAGTCCTGCTGCTGCTGCTGACTGACCTATGACCCCTCCCACCCACCCCTCCTACTAAACTATTGGCATTTTTCATGCCTGCACAAAAAAAACAAACTGTTGGAATCTGTTTAAGTTTTCCAACCTTGACTCAGCAGGGAGAAACCTGTTTTCTCAACAAGCTAACACGAGGGAATCTCACGTCTGGGACAGTGTTGAACAAAGAAAACTAGAGTACTGTATCATAGGAACAATTCAGGCTGCTTTCGGTTGAACAAAAGAAAAAATGTTTTTGTAAGGAGAGATTACTTTTTTTGTAAATGAAACCATGTACAGTCGGGGATTACAGAGAACTGTCTTAACGCTGACCTTTCTGAAAGTCGGCAAAGTCGATGGAAAAGCAGAAAAATAGTATAGATACACAGAATCTCATCAGCTGTGGCGCCCATCAGCAGGGTCCACCTGGTCAAGACAGAGCTACCAAACCAGGTTTTCCAGAGAGACACAAAAGTTACATTCTGTGCAATAGTTTGCTTATCTTTATCACCCCGCCTCAGTTCAAAAGGTTAAATCCTAAACAGAAAAATAGAAAATAGCTTGATCAACCAGTGAATAAATCATTTGGCATAAAAAAAGCATATTTGGCAAAGCTTCACAGATCTCGAGCTGCATCCGCCTTAGTTGTAAATAATGTTTTCCTGCTTTAAAAATGTTCCTTCATCTTTTAATTTGAAGAATTTATCCTCAAACAAACAAGAAGCTATTTTGTCTGCCAGGCTTCAGCGAGTCAGGCAGACGAAACCTAGAAATGCACTCGTGTTTTGCATCAGCTCTCATGTGCAATGTTGCAGCTTTTCCATGTGTGCAACTATTTATGAAGTCTTGTGTTGTAGCCGTATTCTTAAAGAGGCATGTATGTACTCGGTACTGCAATTAGATGTCTGTATTGTGTTACCTTTTATGTATTAAGTTCAGTATTAAAAATCTGCTGAAAAATAACAGCAAAAGCCCTACAGCTGAGAGGGGTTTTCGGAAATAATGTATAGAAATGTGTATCTATCAAATCCAGACGCTTAAGCTTTCGTTCTGTCTTTGTTATGCTTTTATTTTCTGTAACAAAACCAAAGTTGGCTACTTTTTCTTTTCTATTCTTTCACTTTCATGTTTTGTTCTATTTATCTTCTTAAGTTATGCTGAGGTATGAGTGTTTACAAATGTCCAGTGTGGTTTTATTTATTCCTAATGAGCTATTGTTTGGTGGCTTTTCTCCTGGACAAACAGATTCCTCGTGTCTATTTTCACGCCGTGTACAAAAGTGGTTTTTCTGTGCGAGTTTGGCTTTTGTAGGTAGATGCTGGTGTTTGTTTCTAGGTTTTTCTTTTATTTTCTGTATGCTTTTATTCAACAATTTATTTACATCTTTACTGAGCAATAGCAAAAAATTAAAAGACAAAAAATTGGGGAAATTGATTTTAGGGGACACTATTTAAATGTAAATCTTTGATTAAATCAGCATTGACAGCATATATTAATCCTGATGAGTTTTGGGGCTGAGAGGTTAATCCTCTTTTCTTGAAGTGCCAGGTGAGAGAAACAAACCTAATCACGAGCGGGGAAACGGAAGAGAAAATGTATTGTTTCCTGTTCGATGTCGGTTCTTTTGATTTGCTGTTTAAGGAGCCGACATGTGGTCGGGTTTCTGTACAATCTCACATTTTGTGTGACTTTATTTATAAGTGTGGGTTTTTCAAAGAAGTGCTGTTTTGATCTCTTCGTCAGATTCAGCCACAAGTTCCGGGAAGGATCCAAGAGAAGTTCTGAAATGTCTTTGGGAGACGTGTGTCATATAAAGTTGTACAGAGAAGGGTCGGGCCATCGGCCCACTACCCAGGATGTAAAACCGCTCCTATTTTTAAAAACACCAGACTGCAGCAATGTCATCATGAATGTCTGACACATTCTTACTTTTGCATGTACATTTCTCTGTACAGAAGATTGTGTTTACATGTCATTACGTTTTGTAAATAATTTATTTTGTCCATGTTATTTTGCCATTAAATGTACAAGGAACAGACAGCTGTTATTGTTGCTTCTTTTTCTATGTTAGAACACAAAAGGTTCACACCCACCTATGAAAATTTGTTGAAACTGGCGCCGTCTCATTTCTGGTTTCTCATAACGTTTGGGTGTCGAGAGGCGAGACGAAGATGTGTCACTAGAAAGTCGTGGGAAAACCCTGAAGAGGTCAACTGTCATCAGCATGAATACAAACACCAATAATTAGGCTTACAATAAGATCAGACTAGTTTTGATTTTATTTTGTGATTACCTCTCACAATAACATGTTACCCTTGGGGTCAAACGGGTGATAGGAGAGTTTAACTTATCAGCACACACTTACTTTAGATGGCCGAGATGATATTTATAAAAATCTAAATAGATGTGTTCAGTCACACAAAGTGCAGGACCTTCATTCTCAGGAACAGCTTTGGTAACTTGTAAAAAACCCACAGGGGGTGTTGCTGATCTTATGTGTGCATGAATCAGTGTGAGTGCTGAATTTTGTACCGTGCCATTTCCACATATGATGTTAGTCACATGGAAGCAGAAAGGGCAAAGATAAGTTTACCAGAAACTGTTTGTTAGCTCTCCTGTAGAAGAAATCATGTCTTGCTCTTGAACGAGTCGGAGACCAGCTTTAGCTTCTGCTTCTTGTTTACGTTCACCTGCAGCACCTGGGATCCATCGCTTTGCCTTCTTTTCATATTTTCTAATCAAGTGTGAAATCTATTTGACACACTTAGCAGCAGCAGAGGCACATATTTTGCACAGTACCACAGAGGAAGTGTCTGTGCAACAGATAATCTTTTGATCAAATTCTTGTGCATGTGCGGTTATGTTTGAAGGTGATGAACAGGGGCTTCTTCCTCCTTTCTTTTTTTTCTTTAAAAACTCAACATCTTTATGAACATTTGAGATCCAAAATGAAAACATTTACTTTTTAGCTGAAACATTTGCCATTACTGTAAATAATTTTGTTTTTGAGGCTCCAGAAACGATTAGTAAAAATGTTAAAGACAAGTGAAACATAAACAGTAACAGTGAGGAATTTCTTTAACCACACATGTTCTTCCTTTTCATCATTTCCCAATTATAACACCCCCACCCATTTAGTTTCTGAGCACCTTTCACCCACTGAATTCAGTATTCACTCAGAGATCTTCATCTGAATTTAGTCTGAGGAAACACTCGTTTTTCTAATTTATTTTATTTTGTAAGCTCATCCTATCAAGTCTATTTTACAAATACTTAAACAACCCTTTATTAGACAGAGGGTGACATGACTGCACAGACACCCACCTCACATGCATCATGATTAACAACAAAATAAATGTAGTTGCACCATTCTGGCCACTAGATGCCAGTAAAGAGCTAGTCGTTTAACGCTGACATTTGCCACTCTAAAACACACCTGGAGCAGCAGTAGCTTGAGGGGAGAGAGAGGGAGAGTCTAGTAAAGGGAGGGTTGTAGGATCGATACTGGCTCCCAGCAGAGAATGCTGCTGTTGTGCCCTTGGGCAAGACACCTCACCTACATTGCCTGCTGGTGGTGGTCAGAGGGACCGCCACTGCTGGCAGCCTCGCCTCTGTCATCGCACCCCAAGGCAGCTGTGGCTACACTGTAGCTCACCACCAATGTGTGAATGTCTGTGTGTGTGTGGGGGGGGGGGACTAATTGAGTTGCAAAGTGTCTAGGACTCTAGAAGGTCCTATCAAATACAGGCCATTACCATTTACCAAAACATCAAATTACATGAATAAGAACAATAGTTTTTTACAAAATAAGATAATGAACAAGAGTCTGCTTCTAGGCCTGCAGAAAGAAGGAAGAGAAAAAAATGGGACACACAATACAACAGGAGCAAAGGTTGGTTTATGCTTGACGCGTCCATGAGGTCCGCACGGCTCCGCACGGAAAAGTTGCGTCATCTTAACAACCACGCCCCTCCACCACGCCTCCACACGGCCCAAAATTTCCGCAACGCGCACCTAGGAAATTTTCTAACCACGCGGACGGTCGGACGCGGAAAAACATGGCGGACCGGCAAGAACTAGTACGGCAGAGGTTCGTAAATACAGACATTTGTATGATTCAGCTCTCAAAGATCACCGTGATCAACATGTTGTTAATAATTCTTGGAGAGAAATAGCTCGCACTGTCGGAAAAGACGAGGACGCTGTTAAAAATGCTGGAATGCCATGTTGTAAACAGTAATTTCTACTTCTACTATGGTGTAGTGTTAGATGCATGCCGTAGAGCTCCATGCTGCCCCGTTCGGTTTGGGAGAATATTGGCTCACCACAGAGACGAGCCGCATGAACCATAAACGCTGCGAGTTGTGAAGCGCGTTCCAGCCGCGAGCCACATCACCAAGCGGAAAGTGAATGCGTCAAACATAAACCAAGCTTAAGCTATCACTGCATCAACTTGAAGAAATACTGAACAATCACATGATAATAAATCATAGTGCATTTAGTGGCAACAACAGCCTTAAGACATGTGTTGAACGTGCCCAAGCCCATACTTTTGAGAGCACCATGTGAGCACCTGTGTGTGTACACGTGCTTGTTTATGTAAAGTTTCTCTATAAAAGCGTCCAATAGAGAGTGTGAGGGGCCACAGATCTGCCCCCCAAAGATGTGTAGGAGACGGAGGGAGCTCCAAGTCCCAGAGATCCAGGCGCTGCCCCAGAACACAGGAACCCCAAGGAGACTGCAACCAGAAAGGCTCCCGCCCCCCTCGAGAGGCGCAGAGGATCGCCCCGGGGGGCCACAACCAGCAGCCGGCAGAGACCCGGGAGATATCAGCGGCAAGCCCACAGGCCCGCCCGCAGCCTCCCACCCCCTAGCCGGCCGAGCCCGGGACCCAGCAACGCGGGACCCAGGGGTGA